CGGCTTGCACAGAAGTCCAAAAACAAAACACCACTCGAGTTCAGATCAGGCGGGCAGTTCCTCCCAATCACACCCCTCCAGGCCAAGCTGTCATTGCCCACGTGAGCATTGAAGTCCCCCAGCAGGACAATGGAGTCCCCTAATGGAGCACTATCTAGCACTCATCCCAGGGACTCCAAAAAGGGTGGGTACTCTGAACTGATATTTGGCCCATAAGCACAAACAACAGTCAGGACCCTTTCCCCGACCCGAAGACGCAGGGAAGCTACCCTCTCGTCCCCCGGGGTAAACCCCAACACACAGGCAGAGAGTCTTTGTGCTAACAAAAAGCCAACCCCAGCCATCCGGCTCTCACCCGGAGCAACTCCAGCAATGGAGAGTGTCCAACCCCTCTCAAGGACTTCGGTTCCAGAGCCAATGCTATGTGTCGAGGTAAGTCCGACTATATCTAGCCGGTACCGCTCAACCTCTGCCGCAAGATCCTGCTCCTACCCTGCAGGCGAAGTGACGTTCCATGTCCCAAAAACCAGTTTTCTTGTCCGGGGATCGGACCGCCAAGGCTCCCGCCTTGGTCTGCCACCCGATCTTTCTCCTAAGAGTGGCTGGGCTCTCCCTTAGAGATGGGGTGAGAAGCTTGGTCATTCGGGAGGGGCTCGGAGTAGACCCGCTGCTCCTCCACATCAAGAGGAGCCAGTTTACGTGGCTTGGGCATCTGGTCAGGTCCTCCTGGACGCCTCCCTGGTGAGGTTTTTCGGGCACCTCCAACCGGGAGGAGACCTAAAGGTAGGCCCAGGACACAGTTGAGGGACTATGTCTCTCACCTGGCCAAGGAATGCCTTGGGATTCCCTCAGAAGAGCTGGCCCAAGTGGCTGGAGAGAGGGAAGTCTGGGCCTTTCACCTTAGGCTACTGCCCCCGCGACCTGACTCCAGATAAGCGGATGAAAATGGATGGATGGATGGATGGATGGTACAAAATAAATAAATTATTAAATAACAACTGAAGTCAGAAGAAACACATTTTCAGATCAACATTATGTAGAACAAAGCTTGTGTCAGAACAGTTCAAGTACTGTACTGTAGATTCACTGACATTTACACCAGACTAAATGTGTCTGCTGCATCTCCGGGTAAAACCTTCTTGGTAGTGGAACTAGAGACTGTACTCAAGTTAGAGTAGTGGTTATTTATTTATCTCAAACAATAATCGTTCATGTGTCTGAATTTACATTATTTAGTTCATTACAATATAATAATATAGGTAGAAGTAAAAAGTACAGTGTAGCTAAAGTACTAGAAGTACAACATTTTTCTCAAAGGTTTGCTCAGGTAATGTTACTACCCATCTCTGACCAGCAAACAGATGGTTCAATACAACCAGTAGGATGAACAGCTCTAGGGCTATGATGTAGAGGTGGAGTTTACATATTTCCAGTGTTAACTGCCTGGGCCAGTTTATTTTGTCCCAGTCCACCCCGATCAATGCCACAGTGTTTGAGTGGCATTGATATTTAATTTTAACATTTTACTAAGGCTTGATTTCATTCAGAGGTAATGGAATAGGCTCACACACATCAGGTAATTCTGCACTAAAATAAAGGCTGCCAATGTCCAGCCAATCCGACTGTCGCTGGCTGACGTCAATGATTCACCTGATGGGCTGATGCTGACAACTGATGTAGGTTCATTACACCTTAATATTACGAGCGTTTTCCATTGTTGAATATGCATACTGTTTTACTAAACTTGTCCATGTTTTACAGGAGTATGCAATGGCAGCAGGTGTTGAAACCGGCCTAAGTTTACCAGCCAGCCAGCCACCACAGATAACCACGCCTAGCCAGAAACGAAGGTTCTGATTGGATCACACAAAAGGAAATGTGTCGTGTGACTTTTAGCATTACGTGTCATTAGTGTCTAGTGCAAATGTCCAAGATTATAATAACTTGTAAAATACTACTGATCACAGGATTACAATATCAAGTAATAACATTGTCATTTCACAGATTGATTGAACATTGGGCTCACATTATTATTGGTAATTAACAAAGTTGTTGATTATGTATTATCAAAATAGTTCTTGTCTTCGCTGACAGAGGTGAAGCAGTTCAGATGAGCAGAGTGCATGAAAGACCTTGGCCACTATCTCACGTGGATTAGCCTGTCAGAGACTTTATGTCTCTGCTCGAGCAGACGTAGCAGATCATGATCTTTAGGTCAAAAACAGGACATTCATGATGCTACATATGTAATTTTGTAAAGCATCAGATGTTGAGGTGACCACAGGTCCAGAACAACAGGAGTGCTGCATGTTTGGGTTTGTGATCCTATGAAGATCCGTGTGGAGCTGTGTGGGTAAAACAAAACTTTACATGCTATTGGACACCACATTTGAAGCAACCACGTAAAGCTTTAGTTTTTCAAATTTTTGTGCGTAACTTTATTGCAAAGTTGTTATTTTGACCAGGCTATTAATCAGCAGCTTTCTAAAAGACTGCGGAATCCATATTGTTTGAAAAAATCAATTCAGGTGAAGGGTGAGACAAAAATCTTTGACATTTTTGAAAGAGACTTGTAATGCAGGGAAGGCTAAATTTTATCTATTAAATCTGAAATGTGGTGGGAATGTAAAAATAAAATATAAAAAGGATAAAATATATCTACTACATGGCAAATTAACCTTGATTCCCTGTCACTGCAAAGTCAAAATTCAACATCCTTGTTGGTAGGCGGGACCTCAGTGGTGCTTATGGTCTAGGCCGTGGTCAGCTCTTGGCCTTGAAATCCCTCTGAAAATAGGAAATTGTAAAATACGACAAATCAATGAAACACTGTTTAGTATCATAGTACTCAGAGTCACATGATACTAATTGTAATTTACCATTTTTTTACAGTATATGTATATTTTTACTAACAGTAAGCTACTGTAAAAATAACTTACAATACGAATACTGTAAAGAAACAGTGAATTGTAAAGTTTTTTACAGACGTTTTTTCTTAGACTGCAGGATTTCTAGGTGTAGACGTTACGGGGATTCAATTTGGTAGCCTAAAGATCTGCTTTTGCAGATGATGTGGTCCTGTTGGCTTCATCAGAACATGATCTCTGGAGCGGTTCTCCACCACATGAAATCAGAGACCATGGTCTTAAGTCGGATAAGGGTAGAATGCCTTTTCTGCGTCAGGGATGAGGTTCTGCCCCAAGTGGAGGAGTTTAAGTATCTCGGGGTCTTTTTCATGAGTGAGGGAACGATGGAGTGGAAGATCAATAGGCAATTTGGTCTGCAGTACTGCGGGCATTGTACCGATCTGTCAGAGTGAAGAGAGAGCTTATTTGGAAGGTGAAGCCCTTGATTTACCGGTCGATACGTTCCTACCTTCATGTGGTCACGAGCTTTAGTGACCGAAAGAACGAGATTGCAGATACAAGCGGCTGAAATGAGTTTTCTCTGCAGGGTGTCTGGGCTCTCCCTTAGAGATACGGCGAGAAGCTTGGACATCCAGGAGGGGCTCGGAGTAGATCTGCTGCTTTTCCACATCAAGGGGAACCAGTGGAGGTTAGGATGTCTCCTGGACACCTCCTGTGAGGTTTTCTCGGCACGTCCAACCAGGAGGAGACCTAAAGGAAGACCAGGACATGGTGAAGGAATGATGGGATGCAAAAGTTTGGGCAGTCTTGTTAATCTTGATTTTCCTGTATAAAATATTGCTGGTTGTTAAGATGAATAAATCCAGTTAAATATACACACACAGGGATATTTGAGAGGTGAAAAGTCCCCTAAGTTTCTAGGCTGAACAAGCTTTGGGATTCCCCCATACCATTCTGGTGCTGCAGATATCTTCTCATCCTTTTGTTGAAGGACTTTTTGTCACAGACTATTTCACTCTTCACCTACAAGGAAGAGTGCCAAGATATTTGGCGCGCGCGGCGTGTGTGTGTGGGCGCGGGGGTGGGTGGGGGGTGGGGGGGTGGGGGGCTTCAGGCACGCGTCCCTCTCTGCTCATTTTAATATCAATAGATCTTTTGGTTTCTCCAAGCGACCCAAACTCTGAGCGCCACGCGCATAATCTCATTGATGCTGAAGACTTTTACTGCCTCGCTGTGATTTTACAACCATTGGGATCCTGCTGATGATCTTCACAAAGGTCTCAAACCCTTTGGTAACTCTGTAAGGTAACTCTCACCTAAACACACCTTTGTTTAAAATAAGAGGGCTAGGCAGGGGTAAGCTGGTCAGCGTGGTAAACAGTGTATTGGGCAGGTGTGTGTGTGTGTGTGTGTGTGTGTGTGTGTGTGTGCGTGTGTGTGTGTGTGTGTGTGTGTGTGTGTGTGTGTGTGTGTGTGTGTGTGTGTGTGTGTGTGTGTGTGTGTGTGTGTGTGTGTGTGTGTGTGTAGGGAGACAAAAGCCACGGGTCCTGAGCCCTGTGTGCAGCATGTGCCGCTGATTACCATACAGCTGTTATCTGGAGCTCCAGACAAAAGCAACATGATAGTCCAAAACCCCACTCTTACACACGCACGCGCTCACACGCGTCTGTAAGTCCTCCCTGTTGCAGCAGGAGGGTTGAACAACCGTCAGAAGCGCAATATGGTTTTATTACTACTACCACCCCCCCCCCCCCCCCCCCCCTCGGAAAAATCTTTATGAGAGCTTCTAGTGTCAGAACTCTGGGCCCGACCGCCGGCAGCGGAAATGTTGGATTAATAAATACTTAATAAACAATAAACATAAATATTGAGTCTAAGTCTTTTTATTTTATTTCATAGTAACTGAAACCGGATAATTATCGTGTTCCACATCAATTGTCATGCATTTCTGCAGGACGTATCTCCACGCCAGCTTGTTATGCATATTCCTGTCGACTTTAGCTCCAGATGTAATGTGGGTTGTCCGAATCCCCAAGCAGCTCCCGGGTGTCAGGCTGCTCCCCCGGGGCTCCCCAAACCCCACCCATCTGCCGGTGACGCGAGCCAGCGGGTTTAAAAGCACCGTGCGCCTTTACGCACCAGAACACAAACAAGTCCGCGGAGCGTGCTGATTGGAGCGAGGAGGAAGGTACCAGGAGGACTCGGGACACACAAAGATAACGGATCTCCCAGTGATGAAACGTTAGGAGTCCTCACTAAGAATAATTTAAACGCGTAATTTTTATTTATTTTTTTCTGCGGCAGCAAATGAGGACATCTGGTTAGGCTCAGACAGAAGACGTATAACGAAATGGCACAAGTACACCTGAGATACCTGCTGGCTTTGGCCTTGGTGCACGTGGTGAGTTGGTTTCTGTTTGCGCGTGTCTGGATCAGGTCTGGATCCTCATTATCTCGTTTTCATGAACTTTCCGCTGCTGCAGGTTTTGTCCTCTGGTGTGTTTGAACTGAAGATTCACTCCTTCCACACGGCGCAGCGCATCTGCAGAAGACACAGAGACTGTCACATCTTCTTCAGGATCTGCCTGAAGCACCCGGAGGATGTCATCTCAGCGGAGCCGCCGTGCACCTTCGGTACCGGACACACCAACGTGATCAGAGCGGATCACACATCCATCTCCAGCAGCGCTCCCATCAGGGTGCCATTCCATTTTAAATGGCCGGTAAATAAAAACACAGCTTCAAAGCACCAGCACGCACCACCGTTAATTGTTATTATGCAGGAAAAAAGGAAAAGCGCGTAAAATCACGTCTCTTCATTCATCCAGTCATTCATTCTTTCATCCTTTTATTTTCTGCTGCAGGGAACCTTCTCGCTGATCATTGAGGCCTGGAACGCGGAATCCCCCACAGAGTACACAGGTTAGACTTGGCTCACTAACACAGCAGCAGGAACCGAGTCAGTCCTCTGACTAAAACAACCACCTGCTTCTTTTTAGCAGACAATCAGAACAACCTCGTGAGCCGTCTGGCGACCAGGAGGAGACTCGCCATCGGTGAGGACTGGTCCCAGGACGTGCACTTCGGCGAGCAGAGCGAGCTGCGTTACTCCTATCACGTCTTCTGTGACGAGTTTTACTTCGGAGACGGCTGCGCGGACTACTGCCGGCCGCGGGACGACACGCTGGGCCATTACACCTGCGACGAGGAGGGGAACCGCATCTGCCTGGAGGGCTGGAAAGGAAACTACTGCTCTGAGCGTGAGTATCGCGATACAAGGTACCCTGACTGTGGGGCTAGGCCTCTTTGGGCAACCGTGCATTTTTTTTCCCTCAAGCAGAAAGAAGGTGCTGGTTCAAATCCTGGCTGCAGCCTTTCTTTCTGCATGTTCCCCCATGCCAACACACAACACATTCTCTCACATGCATGTGAGTGTGTGTGTGTGAGTGGTTGTGTGTCTCTGTGATGGAGACCTGTCCAGGTGTCGCCCTCCTCTAAATGGCCCCAGAGACACCAGCTACTCTGACCCTTCTTTACCATGTTTAGAACAGCTCATGTGATCAAACTGATACAACTGTTAGTGTGTTTTACTTCAGTCCTGATTTGGTGGAAACCAACTTCAGGACTTGGTGAAAACTGGAGCCAAACAAGAACTTCAAGGGATGACATATTGTCAAACATGAACTGAGTTTGAGTGTTTACAGGAAACAGATTTTATGTAACAGCTTCGATCTGAAGCAGTTGAGGACCACCAGATGTACTCATCTGAGGGACCCCCTATAGATATGGTGCTTCTGTCTGGCTGTTTCATCTGCCTTTTTTCTTTACTATAATAGAAGCACGGTGGCCTCTGTTAGACACACAAAGTGTGTGTGTGTGTGTGTGTGTGTGTGTGTGTGTGTGTGTGTGTGTGTGTGTGTGTGTGTGTGTGTGCGTACAATAGAAAGGAGATGAAAGAAAGCATTTTTTCTCCGGCTCTGTGCCTGCCAGCTGCTTGGCTTAATACTTAACCAATAGTGAAGTCTGGGGCAGGGCTGGGTTCAAACAGGGGTGGGGTTGCGGCTTGTGCGCGCGTGTGTGTGTGTGTATAAGAAGGCGTACCCATTGTATTCACAAACCCCCCCCCCCCCCCTCCTCCTCTTTTCTAGCCATCTGCTCTGCAGACTGCAGTGAGAAGCATGGCTACTGCGAGGCCCCTGGGGGCTGTACATGTCGCATGGGCTGGCAGAGCCCCTCCTGTAATGAATGCGTCCGCTACCCAGGCTGCCTCCATGGGACGTGCAGCCAGCCATGGCAGTGTAACTGTCAGGAGGGCTGGGGCGGGCTCTTCTGTGATCAGGACCTGAACTACTGCACCAACCACAGGCCCTGTGCCAATGGTGCAACCTGCACCAACACGGGCCAGGGGAGCTACACCTGCACATGCCGGCCCGGCTTTGGAGGCACCAACTGTGAGCTGGAAACCAACGAGTGCGACAGCAACCCCTGCAAGAATGGAGGCAGCTGTAATGTGAGTAGTAGATCCATGCAGGGAGTTTTAATTCTCAGTCACTAATAAAAGGGCTCCCAACTTTTAATTTAGTGTTAGAAGACCAGATGTTATCTTCTCTACATCAGGGCTAGATGATTAGTCACTATTTAAGAAAATGTGCACTCTATCCTCAGAACGATGGGCTCGATGTTGGACCTTTGTGTCTCAACAGAAACTCTAAGTTGTTTCTGAGACACTTTCAGTCAGAAATACAGGAACACTGGCAGCTAAAAGGAAGTCATCAGAATGATGATTATGTTTGTTGTAGCTGTAGACTCCACCGGACTTCTCCTGGAACTGACTTAAAATCCTGAAACTTAATTTCATAATTACTTTTCTTCTGTCTAAATGTTCCCTAGGACCTGGAGAACGACTACTCCTGCACCTGCCCACAGGGCTTTTATGGTAAGAACTGTGAGATTATTGCCATGACCTGCGCAGACGGTCCCTGCTTCAACGGTGGCACTTGCGTGGAAGCACTGACCGGAGGATACACCTGTCGCTGCCCTCCCAGTTACACCGGATCCAACTGTGAGAAGAAGCTGGATCGCTGTAGCAACAGGCCTTGCCTGAATGGTGAGCACGCTCTCCTCTGGTGACACCTTGTGGCTGAAATGTGTAAGGCCACCCCGAGGCTCCTGTCTGTTAGCTTCCCCACATGTTATCAGGAACAACCGTTGGCTGTAGCATGCTGAGCTTGGTGTTTCTCTGTTCTATAGGAGGTGACTGTCTGGACCTCGGCCAGAGTATTTTGTGCCGCTGTCAGGCGGGTTTCACTGGTGCCAACTGCCAGGTTAACATCGACGACTGTGCCTCCAGTCCTTGCCAGAACGCTGGAACCTGCCAAGACGGTGTGAATGACTACACCTGCTCCTGCACCTTGGGATATACTGGCAAAAACTGCAGCGTGCGCTCAGACGCCTGCGGCGCCCGCCCGTGTCAGAATGGTGGTACCTGCTTCACCCACTTCACTGGGCCCGTATGCCAGTGCCCCAAGGGCTTCATGGGTCCAAGCTGTGAGTTCACTCTCCAGCCCAGTTTCAAGCCTGCTTTGCGTCAAGCCCCCCAGTCCTCTTCCACCACCCTCACTGTTTCCTGCCTTCTGGCTGTCCTGGTGCTGGTTCTGGTTGCAGGTATTTTATTCCTGAGGAGGAGAAGGAGAAGGATGGAGGGCAGGAAGCAGCTGAGTGATATTGCTGTTTATAATGATTTGGAGACGGTCAACAACATGGGGGGCAGTGAAAGAGAGGCGTTCCTGGGTCCAAACGGCCTGTTTAAGATCAGCAACAGCACAGCTCGGCTCAGCCTGTCCCTATGCCCAGATGGCAGGTCCGGGTACCGGCACAACCCGGTGGAGAGCAGCCTGGCCAGAGTGGAGCGTCAGGACTTCATGTGGAGGGACGAGGCCATGCTAGGTTCTGGAGCTGGACTCAGATGAACCCAGGAGAAAAGATCAAGGATCAAACAGGGGAAGAAACATTTCAGCACTTGTTGCTTTTCACTCTTCATGCAGAGTGAAGCGAAGAACAAATGGGCACGTCGATACTAACGCAGAAAGCTCAATACATGAACTATTTTCATAAAGATGATTTTTAAAGTATATGGGACTGTGCTGTTTAAGACCCAAAGAAACAGAAAACATGACCAGCTGTTCATCGGACCTACAACACAAACCAAACAGGAAGATGCAACACACTCAGAAGACGTGTCTTCGCCATCTTCGCCTCGTTGCTTTTGTTAAAACGCAGGACTTTTATTTTTGCTTTTCAATCTTCCTTCAATCATTTTTTCCTTATTGTGCGCACCATCATGTTTTATTCTTTATATTATTTATTTATGTGATTTTACTTTGATTGTCACAGATGTACAGATATATTTATACGATGCTGAATGGAGCGGCTCTTGTTCAGCACAGTCGACTGTTGTGTTACAGGTCAGAGTTCTGTTGTGTGTGTGCCATTTTGTGTTAATGCCAAAGTTTCTGTTATGTTTCATGTTTTCATTCATCTTATTTAAGTTCATCATGCTGTGTGGAATAAAAGATTTGTTTAAAAGCTGCTCTGGGATCAAGTCCCTCTGGCTTTGCCTTCCTTTACCATATTATTCCAGTGATTTGAACAAACTAATGGATCTGTTTCATTGGCCTCAGCGAGCTCTGCTAACCTTCACAACTCTGATCGTAGCAGGTTAATGTCTCCAGTGAACAGGTGAGACTGGTTCAACTGGGAGAATTTACCTGTGTCTGGAGCAGAAGTCGGTAGCTATCAGTGTTCAGCCAGAGGCTGACGGTGTCTCCTCCATGTGGTCGGACCTCCGGGTGAACAGGCTGTGGATAGAGAAGGTTTTATCATCATCTTCATGAGAACATCTAACAACACGGCACTAAATCAGGGGCGCCTCCAGAAAAGTTTGATAGGGGTGGCCAGATGGGACCAAAGAAATGTTTTGGGTGGCACACCAAATTGGTCCTTGTGGTGACTCTGGGGGACTTCAGCCTGTGGCGATGTACTGCATTATTAAAATAACAGCACGTAGCAAAAAACATTTAATTTAAATTTTACAAACACAAACCTTTCAGATACATTCATTTCAGTCATTTAAAATGTTATCCCAAATTTAATTTAAAAAAGATATTTTTTAGGTGAATTCACCTGTTGCTGTGTTAACAAAAAAACTACGGAGATAAAAACTTTTTAAAATGATGAGCAGCAGAAACATATAAATTTGTTTTATTCTGATTATTTATTTACTCAGTAACTGTAATATTTTATTTTGCTTCACAATTATGTCTTGAATAAACAAGATCAACTTATGGGTTGACTGAACATTAATATGATTTGTTAACACTGGCTTTTCGGGGGGGGGGGGGGGGGGGGGGGATTTTCTGGGGGTGGCTATGGCCACCCCTTGGGGGCGCCCTTGCACTAATCTGGAGGTTTGCCACTCTGTGACATGATGGGTCGGATTCTTTCTCTCCTGTTTCCCGGCATCAGTGTAAAACTGTGGGAGAGGTTCTACCCGTGTGGAGCATCCCAGGAAGGACCAGATGTTCCATCTGCTGCAGGGTTGAGTACAGCTTAATCAGCCACAGCTCCGGTTTGAGCCCATTAGGATGTTGGAAACAGTAGATGATCTTCTTGCTGTCTCAGCTGGTCGTTCATGGTTACTGATCCTGAAGAATGTTGGTCTGACCAGTTTAAAAACCTTATTAGCGATCACATCTTAGCCTTGATCAGAATGCAGCGGAACCAGATGCAGGAATGCTTTGCAGAAAGGAATTCAGACAGTGCAACAGATCAGATGTAAACACAATCTGTGGTTCTGCTAATGTGAAAATTAAAATGTTGACATATTACGTTTTTATTTTATTTAATGTCACAAAATCTGCTCTCATAAAAGTGTTTGAGTCCATCTGGGAAAATGTGGCCTCAGAAATGTTTGCAGTAAAAGACCTTTTCTTTGTTTATTATCATGTTTTCACATTAGACGAACACAGATTCTGTCTGGATCCTGCAGCCGAACACTCCTGGGTCTGGTCCTGCTGCATTCTGATCAAAGTCAAGATGTGTTATGGTGACGTCATTGTAACAGCTGTTTGTTACCGTGTGTCTTTGGTTATAAGACAGCAAAGACACGCTGTGTTTGTGTGCTGCAGCTGGAGCTGTTCTCCACCAGAGCTCTTCTGACCCAGCTGATGGTTCAGTGTCATGACTAAAGCGCTGAAGCGTTTTTTTACAGCAACAGCCGGAGCTCCGGGACCCGGAGGGGCCGCCCAGCTCCCATCTCCTCCCTGCTTCTGCCAAACAAAAGCTCCAGTCTGCACAACCACAGGCAGCAGCGATGGAAGCTGACCGGACCGGACGGGATGAGCTTCATTTATCCGACCCAGACTCCCCTGAGGAGCAGGGGGGTCCGGTACCGAAGAGACACGCCCGGGTCACAGTGAAGTACAACCGGAAGGAGCTGCAGAGGAGGCTCGACGTGGAGAAGTGGATCGACGAGAGTCTGGACCGGCTGTACCGGGGTCAGGTGAGTCCCAGAGAGGTGTCGGTCCGGTTCCCCAGAAAGGAACAGCAATCACCCTCCACATAGACCCGCATGAGGGTTCTGTTAGAGTTTGGGTCAGGAGGTGTGCATGTGCACGTGCGTGCTTTCCCCGCTCACAGATCTGTATCAGACAGGGTTTTCTGCCCATATAAGGGCATCGTGGTACAGGGAAAGGGGTGACTGAGGGGGGAGAGGAAATGAAGGGGGGGGGGGGGGTAGCTTACTTTATAGATTTGGACGTTCCTGTCTGTAGTGCTGATGGAAGCGTTGAGCAGTCCAGAATGAGCCAAGAACCCGAACCAGATGACACAAGCGAAGAGGAGCAGTCCTGGGGGGGATAAAGGCCGAGTTAATGTTCCTTTTTCTCAGCTCATACAAAGACTGCTTGTTTAAACAGAAGAGGCCATTGTTTTTGTCTTCTGCATACTTATTGCTATGCAGCCTCTCTGGTCCAAAGTGTGCAGAAGCTTCCAGCCGAGTCTGAAGGGATGTATGTGGAGGTAAAGTCTGCAACATCACCAAATCCAAGCAGATGTACACAGATCACAACTCAGAGATCCAGTAGCTTCATGTTCTCTGATATCATGACCAGACAGGTGGTCCTTTCAGACCTGCAGACGTGCCATCACAGACCCCGTCTGGGTCAGACATGTGTTTCCTTTCATACGGCCCATAGACCCAGATCTGTTTTTCAACAGTGTGAGGCTGCAGGAACAGACCCTTCTGGGGGAAACTGCAGTCGTCACATCAGACTACTTTAGACCAGTGGTTCCCAACCTTTATCACCACCTGTGTCCAGCACAAGCCAGGCCTCCCTAAAACACACATACAAGCGTTAAAAGTAATTCATCATTAACTTTATACATAAATGCAGAGTTTTATTTATACTATTGGGTGTTACTGGGATTTTGTAATTTTTTATAAATATAATCTTTGGTGGCTCATAATCTCAGCATAGACAAAATTGTGTGGACCCCTTGGGGGTGGTGTACACTTAACCCGCCTTGCCTGCTGGAGGTGGTCTGAGGGACCGGTGGCACCAGTGTTCGGCAGGCCTCGCCCCTTGGAGCAGCTGTAGTTACATCGTAGCTCATCTCCACCAGCGTGTGAATGGATGAATGATTGTGTTGTGAAGCGCTTTGGGGGGTTGTAGAACCCTGAGAAGGTGCTATACAAATACAGGCCATTTACCATCCAATGGAAGTATTAAAGCATTGTAAAGCATATGTGTGTGTGTGTGTGTGTGTGTGTGTGTGTGTGTGTGTGTGTGTGTGTGTGTTTTCCACATCTGTGTGTGAACATGCTGACCCCAGGAGAGTGACATGCCAGAAGAGGTGAACATTGATGATTTGATCGACCTGCCAACTGATGAGGAGAGAGTTCAGAAGTTAAAGGTAACGGTGCTCTCCCTGGTCTGACTCTGGGAGGGTCTGAGAGTGTTTTATTGCATCATCATCATCAGAGTTCAGTGACTAACACGATCATGCAATTCTCCTCTTTGACAGGAACTTCTTCATAAATGTAACAGCAGCACTGAGGTACGTCTCTGCTAAATGGTCACACAGTGATGATCCATCTGTTAGATGTGTGAATGTGTGCCTGGTATTTGGTTATTTCTTTACTTAAACATGTAATCACAAACACACATGCACGCTTGCAGAGAGAAATGTCTTTACAATAATGATCCAGGAGTTTAATATAAAGTTACGTTTCACCCAGATGATTTAGTTTTTGCTCTGTTGTCCTGCTTGTGTTGTTCCTGCTGGCGTCGCCTACTGCAGCGTCTGATTCCTCCTCCTGCAGCCCAGTAACACCAACTGTTTCTGGTTAGAGGTTCCACTGCAGTGGTGGGCGTCATGAAAATGTAGTTTTATTTTTGTTGAAGCTATAAAGAGAAAAATTCCACATTTGAATTTTACCATAAAAACACTCAAATTGATCTTTACATGACCTGTTTCTCACTGTGCAGTGGTACGACCCATTCCCTTTCATTCCACTGTGGAGAAGGTGTTTGTCAAAGTCTCTGAGATCCACACAGCTCAGTTAGTCAAATAAAGACGGACGTTTTTAAACCCCCCACTGAGAAGCTGTGAACAAACCCAGAAAGAAGTGAGATCTGTTCACAAAAAACATTCTAAGAAGTCCATAAACCAGATATTGCTCTTTATGTTTAGAGTGACCAAAAGCTTTTCAGATGTTTTTACAGCATCTATCAGATGCAGAACTCTGAATGTCCTGAGAAGGTAGAAGTAAGCACACTACTGTGGCTGGTTAATGTCCATGTTCAGTCAGGATTGATTAAAGACAGAGAGTACTTCTGCTGTTGCTACAGGACCACATCTGGTACAGTGTTACTCAACAGACTGAGAATCTCACATTTTACCTCAGAAGACTGGAAATGATGAAATATTTAGCAGTAAATGAAATAAAACTGCTGTAGTTCCAGGAACACCTCGTTCTGTGAAACCAGGGTTAGGGTTGCATGTGCATAGTTTTCTGCTCAGCAGTTTGTGCCTCTGATGGGGTTTTAATAATAATAATAATGCATTGAACTTATATAGCACTTTTCTAGACACCCAAAGACGCTTTCACACACTCACATTCACACACTGCTAGTGATGGTAAGCTGCTTGTAGCCACAGCCGCCCTGGGGAGGTCTGACAGAGGCGAGACTGCCATTTGGTGCCGTTGGCCCCTCTGACCACCACTAACACAGGCAAGTTGGGTGAAGTGTCTTGCCCAAGGACACAACAGCAGGATACCCCTGGCGGGAGCTGGAATCGAACCCATGACCCTCCGATCATGAGGCAACCCGCTCTACCACCTGAGTTACTGCTGCCCCATAACATAATAAAAAATACAAGTGTTTAGGAAAAGTTGTGGATATTCTCTGTTGAAAGGTACTGGTTGTTCATCCCACTAGTCAGCTGGACATCTACGAGGACCTTGTTGAAGAGTGTTTTTGGTTGGGATGCAAATAGCTATAAGCAGTCTTAGGTATTCCCTTTTTCAAAACAAAACACACAGAACATCAAAAAGCCTTAGCCCACCCAGCATGGGCGTCATACCCGTGGGGGGTTCAACACCCACACTTTTCCAGCCGTTTTGTTCACCTCCACACCAGTCTGGTCTCTCTACGTCGCACTCACTCTGTTTGCCTTATCTCCTTCTTCCCCTCCCTCTTCTGTTTCTCTGACAGCTGATGTCGGGTTTCAAGGAGAAACAGGAGGGGGAGGGAGGGAAGAGCTCAACTGAATTCATAATTTTACATCTTGACATTAGCTGTACAAACTCTCAGTTTGATAAAGTGAAGAACAACAATTTGCAGAGGTTTATAACAGGCGCGGCGCCAGGTTTTCATTTTTGAGTGGGCCACGGTAATTTTGGACGGACCTTAATGAGCAGTGACATTTTCAGGAGGATTAAGTGCTTGGGATGTAACATCTCGTTTTTGAGCAGGTCCTCCTTCAACACAACCAATAAAGAATAAGATGGCAGAGTTAATTAATCACAACAGACTTAAAATAAAAATAATAACAAAAACTAATAAATAAAACTTCAGAAATTAAAAAATTAAAGATAAAAATAAAAAATAAAACTATGAGTCACTCCAAGCAAAAAAAGGCATTACACTAAAATCACAAATAAACGCAAAATAAAATTACACCCAAATTAATTGAGAATAACTGGCAATAAAATATGAATATATGTTTCAGTATAACCTTTCTTCCAAAATGACTGAAACATTAGACTATTTTGGGATTTTCTCACAGTAAAATTCTCATTATACTCTCACATACTGCACTTTTATACAGACGTCTAAAATGGAAAAAAAAGAAGATGGCGTATCCTTTACAAAATTAGTTTCAGTTAGCTTGTAGCTGGGAACAATGGTGGAGTCAGATCCCCAATGTTGAACTTTCATCTCCACCTTTTGTATTTGGCGATAGTGAAGTCACGAGTTACACGGTCAAGACAATGGTGGTGGGAACCGCCCATTTGGCTTCAAATTTACCTTTCAGAAAGCTATAGGTAACGCCACGGAGGGTTTGCTCTGCGGTGCTATGTGGGCAGCTTGGCAGCACACAGGTTGTTAAAAGTATCAGACTGACAGCAGAAGCATGACCTGCCTTTTACTACCACTGTGGCAGACCCTTTTAACATTCAAACAACACAATTTCTTCTTTTTTCTGCCTAATTCCTATTTTACATAGCAACAATATAATTGGTCCAAACCCTTACCCTAACCCTATCCATGAAAAGCCAATTTAAACCACACTGAAGTTTGTTTTACGTAGAAAATTTGACATAATCTCATCCTGGTTTGTGATATTTCACCAGGTTGTGACACTGATGCAGCAGGTCTGATCATCTCTTTGTGTTGCTGCTGGCCACAGCTGGTCACTTACTGGCAGATTATAGAAAATACAGAGGATACTGAATGCATTCAGACCCCCGTCAATTTCTCACTCTTTGTTATATTACAGCCATTTTCTAAAATCAGTTCATTTCTCCAGTTCTGTCAGATTGGATGGTGAACATTGGTGGACGGCCATTTTTAGGTCTCTCCAGAGATGCTCTGTGTTTAAGTCAGGACTCTGGCTGGGCCATTCAAGAACAGTCACATAGTTGCTATGAAGCCACTCCTTCATTATTTTAGCTGCTTAGGGTCATTGTCATGTTGGAAGGTAAACCTTCAGCCAAGTCTGAGGGCCTGAGCACTCTGGAGAAGGTTCTTGTCCAGGATATTCCTGTACTTGGCTGCATTCATCGTTCCCTTGATTGTAACCACTCATCTTGTCCCTGCAGTTGAAAAACGCCCCCACAGAATGATGCTGCCCCCACCATGCTTCACTATGGGGACTGTATTGGACAAGTAATGAGCAGTGCCTGGTTTTCATCATACATACAGCTTATAATTACGGCCAAAAAGTTCTATATGTCTCATCAGACCAGAGAATCTTATTTCTCACCTTCTCTGGGCCCTTCAGGCGTCTTTTAGCAAACTCCATGCAGGTTTTTAAGTGTCTTGCATTGAGGAGAGGCTTCCGACGGGCCACTCAGCCATAAAGCCCCAACTGGTGGAGGGCTGCAGTGATGGTCGACTTTCTTCCATCTTCTGACTGCATCTCTGGGGCTCAGCCACAATGATTCTTTGGGTTCTTCTTTACCTCTCTCACCAAGGCTCTTTCCCCCCATTGCTCAGTTTGGCCAGATGGCTAGTCAACTGTTTGGGAATCGACTAGATTAGAAAATCACAGACTATCTTTGAATGAGATGGTGAAAAATTCCACAGCCACTAACTTTGCTCAGCTGATTTGCTCAAACAAAAATACGTAACTCTAAAGTTCTGTTTGACACCGTAAACCAGATTTCACACTTTACATATTTCATGGTGTGGGATGTATAAAAGACTTGATCAAGTGATATTAAACAGAAAACAAAAGCCAGTAAGTATAAAAAACTGACCAATTTTTTATTAACCTTTAGTTGCATAAATGTGAACTGCTGAGGTGAGGGACATAAGGAGAAAAACACAATAGTGTTCACTGAACAACCGCTACAAGTTGAGTTTCTAAAGTTTCAAATTCAAACACAGAGAAAATCCTCATGCAGTGTTTTGTGATCCTGCTTCTAATGCGGGATGAGGTTGGACGCATTAAACTTCCCCGGTTCTGTTCCGCCATGGGAAACTTGTGCATGACAAGTGTTGCACTGAGCCAAACTGTCTTTTGGACTTTATCAAAAAATACCACCACATGGCCGACTTGGTTCCTTGCTACTTTGCTAGCACAAACTCTTCTGATTACGCGGACTTTGCATGTTGGACCTGGGCGCTGCTGGATAGAATTGCTGGAATGGAATTTAAAGCGGAAAGTACTTAAAATATAGGAGATTTTTCATTCAGTCCGATATAATCTGATAGTGTTTTTGGGCCGATATCCAATTTCAATATCGGAAAGGGACATCCCTAATCCCAACCATTTTGTTTGTTAAAATTTTTGACCAAATTGGCCCATGCATTGTAGATTTTATTAATATATCACTACAATCTGGCACTGTTCCCTGATTTCAATTACGCAGTTGTTGAACCTATCCTTAAAAAACAGTTTGGACTTCTCTCAGCCTAAAAATTACAGACACATTTCTACATTGCCCTTTATCTCTAAATATTGGAAAAAGTTGTGGCAGATACACTGACTACTTTTCTGGAACTACACAACAGTTTTAAGAAGCTCCAGTCAGTTTTTTGTGAAAAGCATTAAACAGAAACATATTTGCTTAAAGTTTCCAGTGACATCATGATGGCTGCAGAATTCACAGTGTTAGTATTGTTAGATTTTTCTACAGCTTTTGACACTGTTGATCACAGCACCTTAATTAACAGACTTGGTGACTCAGTGGGGATCTCTGGAACTGTTCTAGACTGGTTTAGATTGTACCTTTCTAACAGAAGTTACAATGTCTGTATAAACCAAATCATGTCAGATTCTACCGGTCTGTTATGTGGGGTACCCCAAGGCTCTGTTTTGGGTCCACTCTTGCTTCTACTATACATACACCCTCTTGGACAGATGATTGATTATTTTCATAATGTCTCTTATCACGTATATGTAGATGACATTCAGCTTTAAGGTCTTATATAGACAGGTGTGTGGCTTTCCTAATTAAGTCCAATCAGTATAATCAAACATGGCTGGACTCCAATGAAGGTGTATGACCATCTCAAGCAAAGGGTCTGAATACTCAGGACCATGTGATATTTCAGTTTGTCTTTTTAATAAATCTGCAGAAATTTCTGTCAATGTGGGGTGCTGTGTGTACATTATCAGGGAAAACATGAATTTCTGCTGCATGGAGCACAGTGATTAGCACTGTTGCCTCGCAGCACAAAGGTTGCAGGTTCAAAACTCAGCTGCGGCCTTTCTGCGTGGAGTTGTGTGTTCTCCCCATGCATGCGTGGGTTGCCTCCGGGTACTCCGGTTTCCCCCACAGATCCCAACATGCCCTATAGGTTATAAATTGTAAGTCACTTTGGATAAAAGCGTCTGCCAAATAAATAAACATAAACATTCCATTGATTTTAGCAAATGCCTGCAATATAACAAAGAGTGAAAAATTGACAGGGGTCTGAATACTTTCCGTACCCACTGTATATAAAAACAAATTCAGTTCATGTTACTTGGGCACCCCAGGATTGTTCTATTATGTCAAACAGATGGCTTTCATATGTAATATTATTATTCTGATGGGCAGTTAGTGGATTTTTAAAAGCTTCGACATCATGTGACTTAGTCACATTTTACTTTGACATTTTATATTTAGATGGTGTTCTCTCTCTTCAAAAATGAAATGGGGTTTCCCACCCCTGGTGACACCTGCTCTGGTCTCTGTTCCTTTCTCAGACCTTCATCAAAGACCTGGTGGTGAAGTTGGTAGGAGTCCACAAGCAGGAGGAGCTGCAGAGTGAAGGCATTGAACATCCGGTCATATGCCACACCCATCACCGCCATGAGCCCTATCACTTCAACAGCCCACAGCACCACCATCACCCCCGAGGACAAAACCAGACCCTCTGATGACCCCACCCACCATAAACTGAAGCATGAAGGCACAGTCTTGTGGGCTAGAGGTCAATGAAGGACCCCACCAGAAGAGAAGTGCTCCTTGTTGAAGGCTGGAGGAGCAACACATATTTGTTTTATCTTGAACCCTTCAGAACAGCTGGGCAGAAACTGAGACAGCCAGTCTGATTTAGTCTGGAGACCAGAGAAATCCATCTGTCAAACATTTTAAAGCAAACAACATCTTTACAGACTCTGATAACTTGAAAGATTTCAAAAGGTCTCAGCTTTGGTCTTTAGTCTAGACCACAACAGACTGACTGTAAACACAGTGGTTTCTTGAGATTATTACTGCAAATTAAACAGAAATTATAACCTAATAATTGAATCATAGACAGATTAATGAGTCCTCTGCCCATAAAAGCCTTCTGTTTGGCCTGTCTGTTGTCTTTGGGTTTACGACACTAACCACATGTAAATAACTTCAAATAAACATATTTATCCTAATCTCTGTTTCTTGCAATACTGATGTTTCATAAACTGATGAACTGTTTTTACAGGAAACAACAGAAAAGCTGACTCCACTCAGACAGACATGAAAATATTGTAAAGGTGATCCCTTTGACTTGAACTCAGCCTCAGCGCTTCATTACTCACACAACCTGATGGCGTTGGCATCCTCCTGACAGCGGTGCAGCTACATTATTTTGGTGGAGTATGCAGACATGCATACACATATATAACAGAAATCCAACACAATCCATGAGGCTGAATGGTATCAGTCGCGTTACTTAAACATCTCTTTAATGATACATTAACCATTTCAGGTTTCTAATTTTGTAATGTTTGCATTCACTAAATCTTAGATAATAAAATCTAATTCAACAGCCAGGTCAGGATGAGTCACAACAATGTAGATCCACTAAATGGTAAATGGCCTGTATTTGAAATAGGGATATACAACCCCCAAGGCGCTTTACGACACAATCAGTCATCCATCCCTTCACACACACATTCACATGCTGGTGATGATGAGCTACAAAGTAGCCACAGCTGCCCTGGGGAGCACTGATGGAGGAGAGGCTGCCGAGCACAGGTGCCACTGGTCCCTCTGATCACCACCAGCAGACAAGATGCGTTAAGCGTTTTGCCCAAGGACACAAAGCTACAGCTATAGGGACTTTTTGAAATTTGGTGTGGACATGTTTTTCCAACTTTTAATTTCTTGAGCTCCTCCAGATGTTGCCTAACCCGAATGGGGTCAAGGCTCCATTGCTGCAGACCACAGCGGTGCAGAACGCTCCTACACAGAACCTGTTAGTCTCCTCAATATATGTTAATACAGGTGGTGAAAGAAATACTGGAATTATATAAAGTGGAACATTAGCTCTTCATTGTGATTGTAATAGCTTTCATCACCTCCAGGTGGCAGCAAGTCATAGCAAGCACTGTGAAACTTGGAGCTGCCACAGGTCATGCTCATGGTTTATGTGAGGCATTCTCATGAAGAAATAAGTACATTTTGTTTATTTATCACAGACACTGAATCACAAAGTGCTTCACAAAGAATAAAACATAAAGATATCAAAATAGAATAGATCAACATCAGAAAAAATAAAGCAAAACAAATGAAAATGATTACAAATTTGAGTTAAAAATAAGAAAACAAAAGATTTCTGTAAAAGCAGCTTTAAATAAAAGGGTCTTTAGCTGTTTTTTAAAAGTGTCCAGACTGCCAGTACTACGTAAGGATAAAGGAAGACCATTCCAAAGTCAGGATGCAACAGTCTGGAAGGAGCGATCACCTCAACTTTTATATCTGGTCTCTGGAACTTCCAGAAAAGGGGTGTTAAACATACGGCTCACGGGCCGGATCCGGCCTGCAAACAATGAAATACGGCCCGCGAGATGGTTGTGTAAACTTTATTTTCATACTTTACAATGTAGAGTGAAAATAAACCCTAATTTTTCAATTAAAAAAACTGCTGTTGCCAGTATGTCCATTAGATGTTGAAATAGGCATTGTGTTACGCAAGCAAGCCATTTATCCTCAGCCAGAGCAAGTACATAAACCAAGTGCAACAGATGTTCTGACGAGCTACTTTGTTTTGCCCTCGATATCTAATCCAGTGTCTACATTTTGTGCTTCAGCCCAAGATGTCTCTGTCAAAAAGGAGAAAAGTGGACACAGAGTGCAGGTTGTTCCAAGAAAAATGGACGTCCCCTATTTTTTCACAGAAGTGAACAGAAAAGCTGTATGTTTGGTGTGTTCACAGCATATTATATAAACATACTTTATATAATCTTCGTCGCCATTATGTGAGTCTTCATTGCGAAAAATATGACAAATTTGAAGGACAGCGGAGAAGTAACTGTTGGCCGGAATGAAGAAACAGCAGTCTGCGTTTACTCGGCTAAGATATCAGTGATGCTGCGGTGAAAGCTAGCTACCTGATTGCTAATGAAATTGCAGTGGTGTCAAAACCATTTAGTGAGGGGGAATTTGTAAAAACGTGCATGATGAAGGCAGCAGAGATTTTGTGCCCTGAAAAGTGCCAAGCTTTTGCAAATATCAGCCTGACCAGAAACACAACTGCAGACAGGACTTCTGATATTTCAGCGGATTTGGACAGCCAATTGAAGGAAAAAGTAAAGTCCTTTATTGCTTTTTCAGTTGCTATTGATGAAAGCACGGACATTACAGATGTTGCTCAACTGGCGATTTTCATCCGCGGAGTTGATGACACGTTGGCCGTCACGAGGAGTTTGTTGAGCTGGTGCCCATGACGGATACAACAACAGCAGCTGATATTTTCACCACACTCATTGGAGCGCTGGACAGGGTTGGAGTGCAATGGTCCTGTGCTGGAAGCCTCGCTACAGATGGTGCACCCTCAATCACGGGGAGAAAAGCAGGTGTTGTGACAAAGTTCAGCGAGAAAATGCAATCTGCAAATGGAGGGGATTTTTGGACTTTTCACTGTGTTTTGCACCAAGAAGGTTTGTGTTGCAAGTCATTAAAAATGGATAACATCATGAAAGTGGTCACCCAAACTGTTAATTTCATCCGATCCAGAAGCCTGAATCACCATCAGTTTCACAGCCTTCTCAGAGAGAACGAACACATCTATAGCCTGCCATTCCACACTGAGATAAGGTGGTTAAGCCGAGGTGCCGTGCTGAGGCGTTTCTATGATTTACGAGAAGAAATTAAACAATTCATGGAAGAAAAATGCAAACCAGTGTTAGAATTTCGTTCTGCAGAGTGAGTGCAGGACCTTGCATTTATGGTGGATGTTACAGAGCACCTTAATAACTTGAACAAACAGCTGCAAGGCAAAGTTGTCACACAGTATTACGACTGCGACTACGTTCTTTCAAGTTAAAGCTGTCTTTGTGGGAGATGCAACTCGCTGTTAGGGACGCAACTCACTTCCCCGTCTGAAAAAAGTGTGTGCATCCCAACATGAAGCCGGCATGAAGCGGCTCAAAGATAAAATAACGGGACTGTTGAGGGAGTTTGAGCTACACTTTCAGATTTTTGGTGAACTTGAGAAGGACTTCCAAATTTTTTGGTCCCCATTCACAGTGAATACCTCTGGTCTCCCCGCCAGCACCCAACTTGAAATAATAGACTTGCAGCGTGACTCGGATTTGAAGGGCAAATTTGCCACAGCTGGCTTGGACAAGATTTTTCAAAACCTTTTACCTGGTTACCCCAACTTGACAGCTCTTGCTGCAAAACTGTTGAGCATGTTTGGAACCACTTATCTTTGTGAGCAAGTTTTCTGTGTAATGAGTATGAATAAAACAAAGCTGCGCTCAAGGCTCACACACAAGAACTTGAATCACATCCTGCCAAGTTGGCTGCCACTCAGGATTTGACTTCTGATATTTATGTGCTGGTGAAAGCTAAAAGATGTTAAGCAAAGTGAGTCAAATATACTTTAAGTGCTGCATGAAACTGATCTAGCATGTGATCTGTAAGCTCTTTGATTCCCTAAGGAAGGTATATCTATTAATTTTTTTTTGTTTTTCAAATTTTCTAGTACACTTCAGGTGTTTTATTAACAGTGATTCTGTTTTAATATTCTCATATTATGATTTACTTGGCCAATAGGGACAGAGGTGTTAACAAACCTCAGAACATCACACCTTCTTTCAGACAGAAGGTTCTCTGATTTGTGGGTAAGAACTTCTCTATGTGCATGAAATTACTTTAACTTTATCTTATGAACATTATGTATGAGTGTAGATAACGATTCACTCGTTAAACCAAACATTACTGATCATAACATCAAAATGTTTCACTGTAATATTAAAATTAATTTCAACCTTATTAACTTAGGCACAGATTAATGAAAACATTTCATTTGACCATATTGTTCATTTCATTTCATTATTAATTAACTCATTTTAGCTGAAAATGTTCACTTTTATTCAGAGGCATGAGACAATGAGACAATATGTTATCATATGTTAATAGAGCTGTTGCCTTGCAGCAAGAAGGTCCTGGGTTCGCTTCCCGGCCTGGGATCTTTCTGCATGGAGTTTGCATGTTCTCCCTGTGCATGCGTGGGTTCTCTCCGGGTACTCCGGCTTCCTCCTACAGTCCAAAAACATGACTGTTAGGTTAATTGGTCTGTCTAAATTGTCCTTAGGTGTGAGTGTGTGATTGTTTGTCCTGTGTTTTTTAAGGATAGGTTCGATAACTGCATGTTTGAAAACAAATGGTACAGAGCCAGGTTGTAGAGATAAATTAATAAAATCTACAATACATGAGCCAATTTGGTCAAACATCCTGATTAACAAGGTAGTAGGGATAATGGCAAGGGAACATGAGGTTGGTTTCATGTGTTTCTGAATGTCAAATGCCCTGGAAATCTACAGGGGTAAGGACAGACCATGATTGGGAGGAAGGAGGTTGGATGGGAGAGTAGGAAGTAGATGGGGTGAAAAGCTTGCCCTGATATTTCTGATTTTATTCTCAAAGAATGCTAGAAAGTTGTTACAGTCAGACCTTGAGTAAACAGGTGAGTAAAGAGGGATGTGAGGTGAAACAATCTGGTTTATGGTGTCAAACAGGACTTTAGAGTTATTTTTGTTTACAGCAATCAGCTGAGCAAAGTAAGCTCTGTTGTCAGTGACAGAATCCTTAAAAGAAGCTAGAGCGACTGCCAAAATCCTCAGTGCTTATCCTGCTTGATCGATTGGCTGCATTGGACACAGTCAACCATGGCTTCCTTTCGTCCATACTCTCTAGCATGGGCATCACAGGGGAAGCCTGGTTTGAATCACACCTAACAGGACAATCATTCAGTGTATCTTGGCTCAGACAATCTTCTGCTGTTCACCATCTTACCACAGGAGTCTCCCAGGGCTCTGTACTAGGATCTATTCTCTTTGACATATACACCACCTCACTGGGTGAGATCATTCGATTGCATGGCTTCTCCTACCACTGCTATGCCAACGACACCCAGCTCTGTCTGTCATTCCCGCTGGATGACCTCACAGTCTCTGCACGAATCTCAGACTGTCTTTTTGACATATCAAGATGGATGAAGTCCAACCGTCTCCAACTCAACCTCTCTCAAACAGAATAACTTGTCATCCCAGCGAAACCATTCATACAGCACAATATCTCAATTCAAAATGATTCCCTACATCTGGCTCCTTCAAAGGCACTTTGAAATTTGGGTGTTGTGAGTGATGACCAGCTGACCTTTAAAGATCACGTTACCTCTGTTGCTTGTTCATGCTGCTTCACACTGTATGACAAACGAAAGATCAGACCATACCTAACACAATTAGCCACGCAGCTCCTGGTGCAATCACTGTCATCTCCCTCGTTGACTACTGCAAACTGGTCTTCCAATCTTGCTGCCACGTCTCCTTAAGAAATAAATAGTGCAACTTTTCTCTGATGAACAGCTCATTTAAAATAAAGGATTTGTTTTAAATGGAGCAGGCATTTAACAGGGCATGCTGAACTGAATCCTGGAGAACGTTTGTCTTCTTAAACAGCAAGTCACCCCCAAATCAACTTTTTTTTCCTGATAAACTATATAAATGTGTGTCTAATCGTGCTGCAGACATGTGTAGTCAATAGTTTTGCACTTTAGTGTATTTTAGTAAAAATTACAATTTTCTGCCTAAAATTGTCAGTGTTGTGCCGTTGTCGGGAAAAAACTGTACACTGCATTAGAATTTAAATCTGCCATCTCTATTGGCTAAGAGGTACCCTAGAACGTTAGCTGGTACCATATGATGTCACAATGTCGTCGTGAGCTTGTGTGTGTGTGTACAGTGATCCCTCGCTACTTTGCGGTTGGTTTATCGCGGATTCACGACATCGCGGATTTTTTCTTTGGAGCCTTATTCAAGGGAAATTCGCTGATTCGCGGTATTTTTCACCGATTCGCGGTATTTTTCTATACGAAATATCAAGAAATTCTTGTTTTTTTCCATCAATTTCATCATAAAATGCACTTTTTGTAATAAAACTATAAAAAAAACCAAGTAAAAAAAATTTTCTTGAGTTTTACCCACAAAAAGAGAATGTGATCATACGATAATTCAATATAGTACTGTATGTCAGACTGGTCGGCTGGATTCGGGAGTTGAGCTTGTAGTGAGCGTGGTTTCACGGACATGGAAGTGAGAGCGTCGGTGAAACGCCGGCTCACGATTTAATCTAGGAAACCCCCGAGCGTTCGAGTGTCAACAAAGTGACACGGAAATGCCGGGCTTTCCAGAAGTAAGTAAGATAACTTACTACGAGCTGATAGTTCGTGGGATGGATCGGTAGGTTGGAAACTCTGATCATAAATCTGAAGAAACGATGATTGAGTGGTGAGCTGGAAAGGCGACTTCCGTTTATAGCCGCGGTTTGTGACAGATGCGACGTGGAGGGAATCCCCGCGAGGGGCATGCTGGAAGTTGTGGTCCATAGTGGAGGCCGGCTAGCTGGAAGAGGCTGGCCTGGGAACTTGGGTTCTGACACTGTACTGTAAATATGGTGTCCCTACTTCGCGGATTTTCACCTAGCGCGGCCAGGTCTGGAACGCAACTACCGCAATAAACGAGGGATCACTGTATTTGTTAGTGGCTCCGACCTCTCGGTCTGCTAGGAAACAGCTTTTGTTGCATTTTTCAAACAGGAAGTGGGAGTGGAGTAATACTCTGGTAGGGGGTGACTTGCTCTTGTGTGTGTGTCTGCTCTGTCTTCTCCATCCCCAGTGAGTCGTGGAGGATGGCTGCTTATACTGAGCCAGGATCCTCTGGAGGTTTCTTCCTGTTAAAAGGGAGTTTTCCTCTCTACTGTCGCTAAATGCTTGCTTAGTATGAGGACTGCTGTAAAGTCTCTGACACTAGTCAGTGACTTGATGCAACCTGCTGGGTTCCTTATATAGGAAACATTTTACTGATTGGCTTAATGAACTGACCTGTATTGGAATGTTTTATTATGTGAAATGCCTTGAGATGACTCTTGTTGTGATTTGGCGCTATATAAATAAACTTGAATTGAATATAAATTAAATGTCTTTCTGTCTCACATAGAAATAAATATTTATAAATGAGAGAGACTTAAGCACTAAAACCTTTTCAGATCACATAACTGACCATCTGAACATAGATTCTCCTCCTCACTACCTGCATGTGTAATCTCCTCCTCCTCCTTCTCTCTGATGCAGGAGGAGGAGGAGGAGAAGGAGAAGCCTATTCTTCATCTCCTGCAGCTCATCCTGCTCCCATCGCTCTAACAGGCTACAGGATCAGCAGCTGCTTAATGCAAACACATCGTATGATCATGTTTTGTGAGATTACTGACTGATGTTTTTAGATCTGTGAATGATAAAAAAACAACTCAAACCAAGTTGATGGACTGAGATAACATTTCCCACAAAGCTGTGCTGAGACATAGACCAGTCTGTGTACTGGGAGACAGGAAACATGGAAATGTTTTCATGTTTCCAAGCATTATGCAGATATTTATTTAATGATTTTTAAACAATTATCACTCTAACTGCTAACACACACATACACACACAGGCGCGCACACACACACACACATACACACACACACACACACACACACCGGCACATGCACACAGAGACACACACATGCATGCACACGAGTTTGTTTTTCTGTCCAGTAACTGCATTAATGCCTAACCCTAGAACAGAACCAAAGTGAGGACCAGCAAAAATCCCTCACTTTGGTTCTAAGGTCCTCAGTTTGCAGGTAAAAAGCTTGCCATTGGTCCTCACTTTGATGTGTAGTACACACACACACACACACACACACACACACACACACACACACACACACACACACACACACACACACACACACAAACACACAAACACGCACACACACGCGCGTGGTGGAAGCTGCTCTGGCCTTGAAGCTGCTCAGTTGCAGCAGCGTTGAGTCACTGTAGTTCAGCTCGGAGCACTGTACTTAAAGTCTTCCGGTGAGGATAAAAGTCCCGCTGATGGAGGAGGGATGGAATTTCTACTCAAGGTCGTTGGCAAAGACTCAGCTTGGGTTTGTTTTCTACAAAAATCAGTCGATCAAACAGAACGTGAAGTGTGCCAACCCTCTGAACTGGGCAGTTACTGAGTTTGGTGCAATAAGGGGGTGGGGGGGTGGGGTGGGGGTCCCCCAGAGTACGTGTGTGTGTGTGTATGTGTGTGGGGATGCTTGGTGATGTAGGTGAAGGGGTGGGGTGGGGGTGAGGGTGGTGGGCTTTCCTCAGGAAAACATATCACCTTCCACCACAATGGAGAGCGTCAGGAAGCTGCAGGCGGCTGCATTGCTCTCTTGAGTCACCCAGAAGTTTGAGGCGCAATCTCACACTCATCAGTCTCTCTCTCTCTCCCTCTCTCTCTCCCTCTCCCTCTCTCCCTCTCCCTCTCCCTCTCCCTCTCCCTCTCCCTCTCCCTCTCCCTCTCCCTCTCCCTCTCTCTCTCTCTCTCTCTCTCTCTCTCTCTCTCTCTCTCTCTCTCTCTCTCTCTCTCTCTCTCTCTCTCTCTCTCTCTCTCTCTCTCTCTCTCTCTCTCTCTCTCTCTCTCTCTCTCTCTCTCTCTCTCTCTCTCTCACACACACACACACACAATCTCTACAGCCTGGCAGCTCACTTGGCCCACACATTCCAGGATGACTCTGTTCTGAAACACAAGGAGCCTTCACCAGGTGAGTGTCCCGCTGTGCTCTCGGAGAGTCCTGGTTTCTGTGTGCTGACTTGTTTCTTTAATTTAAGCGTCTAACAGAAACAGAATGCTGCTGCAGGTCGTTCATTCCCACTGCAGTAAGACTGTAACTCACAGTTTAACACTTGCTGGATTAGACCTTTTCACGCTAACATCAGAGTCATATTCAGTACCTGTGCAATACCCGGATGCACAATTATGAGTGTGTGTCCTTTATGCTGTTTTTTCTTGGAAACTAAAGTTTTCTATTTATATTCTTCATTTTAATTGCTGAAGGTAACAATAATATCCTGTTTTTCTCTGTGCTGCTTTTAGAAGTGGATTTCCCCACTCCATTCTATCATGCTAATGTTTTGCCCTCATTGCCAATAATTTTGTTCTGTAAAGAGAGAGAACCCATTCATTTGGTTCTTTATTTTCTGTAAAGAGGAACTTTTATTGAAATATACCAGAAAAATCTAAAAAATTGGACAATTCCTGTCTGTAGATTTTTGTCTGCTTCTGTAAGAGCCCTGTTGGCCCATGGGGACAAAGTACTAAATCCACCGTTCAATACAGAAAACAGATCAAAATATCTGATTAAAATGAATTTGTGTGAAACAAAAGGGTAAGAGATGAGATCTCATGAGTGTTTTCAACTCCAGTTTTCAGATTTGATGCTTTTAATTTCCTCAACATTGAAAACAATATTCACAGTAGTAAGAAACTTAACTCTGGTTTTAAAAAGTCCGTAAAAAGTTTGTTCCAACTGAAAAGCTGCTCAGAATGAGAGGCTGTGTGGATGAGCACGGTCAGTGTGAGATTAGAGGAATAATCCCTGTAGATAATTCATAAGTGTTCAGATTTAACACCAGATCTGTGATCTCTGATTTAGATTACATGTCGACAAAAAAAATCTTACTTATGTGAGAAAAGTTTATAAATGTTGTGAAAAGTTCCATTAATTTCCTCCATTTTGCTCCAGCTCCATCTTCTCCATCAGAGCTCACTTATCAGGGACAAAATGTATCGAGCTTCTTCTGATCGAGGACACGAGCTGTGGTCAAAACCACATTTGGACGTAGAAACAGCAGCCTGTGAAGATAGTGTGTGTGTGTTTCCTCCCACAGTCCACAGACATTCATGCTAAGTTAAGGACAGATTATAAAACAGCAGAAATTCTGAGGAAGAGAGAATTGTCGTTTTGTCTTCATTCTAGCCCGAGAAGAGCCGTGTCCCTTCAGAAGTCCCTCTGTCCTCATGGCACAGAGAAGAGACAAAATCCACCGTTGGCTTTAGCTTCTGTTTTCTGCATCGTGTTTCCAGTTCCAGCTGACACTGATGAATAACATTAATGCCACTTGATCTCAACAAGCACAAAACCAGTCTGCAGCTTTTTAGGTCAAACTGAAATTTATGGTATTTTAAATTATTTTTTGCAATAATGGTTTTATGGTTTCATAAATTTCATTTGTAAACATTGATAAAAGCCATTTAGATCAAAATCTCCAGACTTTGTTTTGTGTGATACCACCTGACGGAAATATTTAAAAGATGCATTTTTCTATTCTAAAGATGGAGTTATCTGTTTCTAAATAGAACTGATTGAAACGAGTCGTTGATTTGTTGAATATTTTATTCTGACTTACTTTTCTTCTGCAGTTTGTTAAAGTCTCAGTTGCAATCATGCCCATTCTGAAGAAACTCCCAGGAAGATCCAAAAGCTGCAACGAGTTTCCACGAGTGAACGGTGAGCTGATTCTGCCTCGACTGGACCTGGACCTGAGGGGCTTGAATGATCTCAATGACCTGAAGGAGCTGAATGACCTGAAAGACCTGAAGAACCTAAACCCGTTTGAGGATGTGGACCTAGATGAGGATGAGCGGAATGGAGGCGACATGGGTCTGGTCATGGGGGACTTCAGAGGGACCCTCCAGCTCAGGTCCTCCCGTGATGGAGAAGAGGAGGAAAACGAGGTGAATGCAGAGAGGCACGGCACAGGGAACCCAAAGGGGAAGCCACTCAGGGGGACTCTGGAGCGAATCTGTGGGGTGTCACCCTTCAAAACCCTCGGGAAACTGGGGAAGGGTCTCCGCATATCAGGACGAAATATGTGGGGTGGCAATTCACCGCACGGCCACCCTGGAGACTCCAACACACTCCCAGCAGAGAAGGAGAAGAGAAGGGGCCCAAGAAGAGGCTCTGAGGGGATTATGACCCTGCTTCGGTGAGAAGGAATCCAAATGTTGCAGATATTTGTGAAGAATCTGAACATTTCTCCTTTGTTTAGAGTTTAAATGCAGAAAAAGTGTTAAATTTTCCGTTTGCTTGACAGTGATAATCTGAAGATTTAACCTAGAGCAGCCATTAAACTTCTGACACGAGCTCTTCTTCGTCTGTGCATGCACTTATTTAATAATTTGTCTAAAAACTATAAAAACCTGTTAATCAAGAAAGAACACAGTTTGTTTTGCTACTCATTCCTTTTACAACTCAGAGTCCCAGACAAGTGAAAAGGGAATCCCTTCTCAGCGTCGCTTTTCAGCTGCAGTTTCTGAGGGATTATGTCATGTGCTAACAACAAGAGAAGCTCTTTTGTTTTTCACTGGCAAACAGTGTAATAGCTCAGTGAATGGTACTATTTTTATCTGAGGTTTCCATTCTCCTCAGCAGCCCCGTTTAGCAGATCTGTGAATATGTTGCATTCCAACAATAGCTGCAGCTATGAGTCTACAGAACAATACAAGCCCTCTGCAGACCGATTGTTCCTATTTCTGGTTTTAGGTCCTTGAAGAGGAATTAAAACTCTGGTGTTGTTGTTGTGATGCTCTGCAGCTTCACGGGTCGCCACAAGGAGGAACGCAGAGAGAGCCTGCCCTGTGGGGACCTGAGCACCGAGCTGGACCCCGAGGGGTCCAGACGACCCTCCTTCCTCAGAATCGTCAGTCTGGGAAAGCTGAAGAGAGAATCCATGTCAGACAAGACTTCCCAAGAGGCTGACGAGGAATCAGTGGAGGAAGAACCAGTGGTGAAAACGCGGGAGCCCTTGTCAGGTATGAGTCAAGGAAACAGAATCAGTTCTTTGTCAAGCTTTGTGCGCCTTTCCTGTCAGCCCAAAGCAACTTTCTAATTAGGCTGAGTGGTCCCCAGATCACCATGCTCACTCACCAGCAGGCTGTGAGATCAGGAAATAACTCCACTTCCTCCAACCCCAGGTCTTTGGAAACGTTTAAGCAGGCTTTCTCCATCCTTGCTGGGACAGAAGAACAAACAGAATGAGGAATGAGTGGTCCAGCTTGTGGGCTGACGCGCACAGCTGGACCATAACCTCTCTGGTTACTGAATCTTCTGATGCTGAAACAATGTCTAGTCTTTAGTTTCTTCTCATGTTTCCAACAGTTCTGGAAATTCTTCAGCTGGTCAACCACAGAGACCTTCTCCTGGCTGACACCCACATTCAAGAACTGGAGCGAGAGTGTGAGCTTCTGTCTCTGCTGCCCACCCCAGCCTCGCCCACCATCACCCCTACCTTGAATCCCAGTACCCCTCCTGGAGGAATCTTGTTTTCATCTTCATCACTGGATGAATCAACGAGCTCTAATGCAACACTAGACTCAAGCAGAAGAAAGGCTAAGGATGTGGAGCTTTTGTACGAAGCCTTGCAGAGGGAGATGTGGGACGTGGTGCGAGAGTCGCTCCGTCAGCCCAGTGCTGGTCCCAACCTCGGTCTGGTGGTGTTAGTAATCCAGCAGGAGGAACATGCTGATGCTACCTGGGCTCTGAGGGAAGAGACCAGGACTGAGCGCCTGAGCACACACATCCAACCTAACCAGCGTCCTCGTCGGCTGAAGGTGAAGTGGAGGCAGGCGGTGGCAGAAGCTGCAGACTGGAGCCTGCCTCATCAGGTGGACACCCAAGCCGGCCAGCTGGCCTCGTACCTGGAGCGTCTGAGGAGCAGGATGGTGGATGATCTGGATGCAGCCAGGAGAAATGCTGTGTCTATTTACCCAGAAGAGTTTGCAGCCTTCCAGGTGTACATAGAGAGTTACCACCGAGCTGTGGCTAAGCGTCTTCGGACCATCACCAGTGGGCCTTTGCAGATCACAGATGTCTACTCACTACTAGACTGGTTCTACAACATTTACAACAGGTGTGTGTGTGTGTGTGTGTGTGTGTGTGTGTGTGTGTGTGTGTTGTTCCAGTCCAACAACATGTCTATGTCAGATCAACCTATAAAGTCTATTATGAACATTCCACCAGGGATGTCCTGGGAACCATTGGCACCACCACGTCCATAAACTATGCTGCACTGGAGCCCATTCTTCCTCAGGAGACGGTGGACAAGCTTGAAGAAGACTGCATCAGTATAGTCAAGGTGAGAGAATGAGTCTTCTCAGAAACACTGACCAGCAGCTTCATTTCCATCTCACTCCCTATGTTTCAGGATAAGGTAACAACAGAGCTGATCCAGGTTCTGGATGAGGAGGAGAGGCGATGGGCCCAGACTCTGCACATAGAAGAGTACCAGTCCCACCTGGCCCAGTCTGTGATCCAGGTAGTCCCACTATGACTCAGAGATTCACCCGCCACCTTGGTGAACTTGTGTTTGATAAGCGCAGCTTAATCACCAGCTCTGTATTTTCCACTTCCAGAGGTTGAAGGTGGACCTGGACAGATCCACAGCTGTGAGTCAGTTTCTCGGGGCAAGAGTGGCTCGCTGTAGTCTTATCGGACTGGCTGACTTTCTCTATAAGTGAGTACTTGTCCAGAGGAAAACACACTCAGAGCTGTGCTCAGTTTAATAAGCATACTGGAGTAGCATTCAGAAGATCAATAGGACTGATGTTTATCTTCCACGGCCTCTTACTGCTGACCAACACCTGGTGCTCTGGTCCAGCTCAGATAGAGATGTCTGCCCTAGGACATTAACGCGTCTTGCTTACAGGAGACTTTAACACAACCTCCATGTTTCCAGTTTCCAGAGGAAGATGGAAATATTTCATGATACTCAGGCCGAGTTTGGAGATCGAGGAGATGGATACATGTCTAGGACCATAGCTCTAGTCAACTGCTGCCCTCCGTTCAGGTAAAAGCAAACACTGGCAATGTGTTTATCTTTTACGTCTGTACTGATGGACATGGTAGCTGTAAATACCCATTACTGGATACGTGTTGTGTGACCTGCAGGTCCTTTGTGGAGCGTTGTGGGCAGTGTGACCCACAGGGGAGCGAGGAGTCCGAACAGAGAGCTAACTCCTCGCTGGATCGCGTCATCAACCAGTCAGTGAGGGTTCTGACGGACCGGCTGTTCGAGCACATCAGGGTGAGAGCAAACCTCCCTCCTGTTCAAGTTTCCTTTTTCTATTTTAAGGAAAACCGTTCAGAGCCGATATCTTACCCAAGTTTCTTTAAACTTTCAGTTGTAGAACACTAAGACTTAAGGACAACGGTAGCAGATTAGTTAAGTGCCCATCTTTTAACCAGCGGGTTGAAGGTTTGAGCCCCGTCTGTTGGAGTTGTTGTGTCCTTGGGCAAGACACTTAACCCTCCTCACTTGCTGGTGGTGGTCAGAGGGACTAGTGGTGCCAGTGTTCAGCAGCCTCACTTCCATCAGGGGAGCTGTGGCTACGTTGTAGCTCATCACCACCAGTGTGTGTGCATGTGCATGTGTTTGTGTTATAAAGTGCCTTGGGGGGTTGTAGAAACCTAGAAGATACCATGAACCATTCACTCAGCAGTCATGAGCCACAGGAGTCTTTATAAATATCCAAACACCATCATCACCCTTAAGAAGAAGAAACTCTTTTATACAGTTCTTCTCAAGATTAAACTCACAAGGCGCTTGACAAGAACAAAAATTAAAAAAATCAGAATTGAAAAGATAAACTATTATCATAAAATTGGGAAAAGTTTAAAATAGCGGTTAAAAATTTGTGAGAAAAAAAATAAAGAGGTTATTCAGTGGATCTCGGGAAAGGCAGAAACAAAGAGCTGAATAAGGAGAGGGTAGTGATGAAGGTAATGCAATAGCCAGCTTGAACAGCTTCTTAAAGGAGACCACTGAGTCCACTGATCTCAGGCTCAGGGGGAGAGAGTTCCAGAGTCTGGGGGCAGCAGCAGATGATCTGTCACCTTTGGTCTTTAGCCTGGTGCTGCACAACCAGTAGGCTTTGGTCACTGTGAAGCCGTGATGGGTTTCTGACACCCTGTAACTGTTGTGGTCTTTTGGCTAACAAATCAATCAAATTTTCAATTTCCAAATCCCAAACAGAAATCTGTTAATCTGGGTTTCATTCACTGTTCCTGCAGCCGTTCTTTGACAAACTGATAAGGAGAAAATGGTTGAACAACATTGAAGCATTTGAAGCAATTGAAGCTGGCATCAAACAGCACTTCAAAAAGTTCAAAAGGATGGATCCTCCTCCATATCAGGTAAAAGCAGTCTTCTTCATCAGACTTTATGGAATGAGTGGCATGTACTCCACAGAAAATGACTGAATTTAAATGTGGCGAATCAGTGCTTACTGTTGCAATGCACAGACGCTGGTAGGAGAGGTGCACAGACGCGTCCTGGTGGAGTATGTCCGGGCCATCATGAGGGGACGAATCATTTGTACATCCTCAAAGATGAGGAAGAGGATGGCCTTCCGTCTGCAAGATGAGGCTACACAGCTAAAAAGACTTTTCAAAGACCTGGTGAGTCTGGCTCTTCAGATTTAAACCCCCTCAGACAGATCCAGAGACAGATCCAGAGACAGAGACAGATCCAGATCCAGAGTCAAAGTCAGAGTCAGAGACAGAGACAGAGACAGAGACAGAGACAGAGTCAGAGTCAGAGACAGATCCAGAGACAGAGACAGATCCAGAGACAGTCAGAGATAGATCCAGATCCAGATCCAGAGACAGAGACAGATCCAGAGACAATCAAAGACAAATCCAGATCCAGAGACAGAGACAGAGTCAGAGTCAGAGTCAGAGTCAGAGACAGATCCAGAGACAGAGACAGATCCAGAGACAGAGACAGAGACAGATCCAGAGACAGAGTCAGAGACAGAGTCAGAGTCATAGTCAGAGACAGATCCAGAGACAGAGACAGAGACAGATCCAGAGACAGAGGCAGAGACAGAGACAGATCCAGAGACTGAGGCAGAGATAGAGAAAGAGCCAGAGACAGATCCAGAGACAGAGACAGATCCAGAGACCAAGACAGACCCAGAGACAGGGACAGAGACAGAGACACATCTAAAAGACTAAAACCATCCACATTTGAAAGTGCTGATTGTTAAAACCACAAAGCTGAGCTTGTGGCGGAAATGCAGACTCTGGTGGCTGTGAATGGAACTTGACCTTTGAACTTTGCAGGTCAGGATAAGGTCAGACTGTGTTGATGCAGGACACAGCTCTAAAAAATGGCTGCCGTCAGAGAGATGGAGATGGATGAACCGGACTTACGTTAGCACTTGCCAAGATAAGGATGAAGGTTTAGAACAAGTGGGTCTGAGGGCCTGGCATTTGCCCTCTCCATGTTTGAGTTCAAACAAGTGCCAGTGCCGGCTGACAACAGGAAAGTGGTGTGTTTGGAGGGAACTTCCTGTTAGTGTCAGCTGACTGACTTTGATGTGCCTCTGGGATGGCCTTGGTGGCCTTCCTTGCCAAGGAGCTGCTGTGGAAACTGGGAACACTGGAGCAGGGGTGGGGGGAGGATGAGGTTTAAACAGTTGTGTAAAAGCATTGTTATTTTTAGTGAATACCAAGGCAGAGATAGCTTCGTTCTCTTTTCCTGAATACTTGAAGTGAAAACAAAAACTGGGAAGGCTCTTCACTGGTGGATCAAACGTTTGACTTCTGACCTGAAGAGGCATTAATCTGTGTTTCCTCTGAAGATGGGATCTCCACATCGCTTGGTATTCTTTTACATGGAAAACATGCTTGCACCAACCCACAGCGATAACACAAATCAAGATTTATTTACACATTGGAACATTTTCTAGTCAAACTTTTGTCTTTTTTCTGCTTCAGGAGTCCAACGCCTCCTGGTTGGACGCCATCATCAGCCATTTAGCTGACATCATCCTCCTTGAGGACACCCCCTCCATCCAAATGGAGGTGGCTGTCCTGGTGAAGGAGTTTCCTGATATAAGGTGAGTTTATGTCCACCCACCCACCTGGGAATCATTCCTTGAACATGACCCCACCCCCACCACCACCACCACCACTTATGCCTTTAGCTTTGTTATTTTTGGAGGAGCTTGGGTCTGTTTTGAGAATGGATGAGGCTGAGAGTCCTCTGGGAAGGGGGGGGTCCGAGCATGTTTGTGCACAGAGTCAGACTCAGGTAGATGGGTAGCAAGCAACCTATGAATGCATGTGACGCATAACTCTCTGAGGAGTAGGCAGGAAGTTACTGCTGAGTACTTCCTGTTCCTGCCACTTTGCAGGCGACAGACTGGTGCCACTCTTGGAATTAAAAATGGGAGGTGTGGAAATTGTGATAAAATACAGAACATCAGTGATGGACTCCATGTTTGTTGTTCAAAGTAAGCGACTTTCTGCCAGAAGATCAGAAGATCCAAACATTTCGGTGTTCTGTTCAGGAGTGGCATCTATTTGACACAAGTGACCATTTCTACATACGTCCAGCTCCCAAAATAAAACAACTAAAACCATTCATGGCTTATTTGACAGGAAACACTGAAGTTATTATGGGACAAATTTCAACCTTTATTTTACCAGGTAAAATATTTGAGAAGATGTTCTCATTTACAAACATGACCTGGCCAAGAGGTCTTGGAAGGAAGTGCAAAAAAAAAAAAAAAAAAAAAAAAGTTAATGAGAACAATAAAATATATATATAAAAAAACAATAAATAAATAATTAAATAGAAAACTATCAAAAATATTACAGATAAGCACAAAACAAATCAGACATAATAGGTTATCAACAGGAATTATCTGGGTATGATAAATATAGAACGTATACACATGCATGTAGGAGAATCATTACATCATACAGGGAACTGAATGTGTGTGTGAATGTATGTAAATAAGTGTGATCTGGGTGATCAACAAGAGCAGCAGTCAGTTAAAATTTGGAGAAGTTTAGATCTTAAGGTTGTAATAGGTGTCAAAGTTGCAAGTTTAAGAGTGTTTTGTCAATTGTTTCAGTCATGCTGCTGCAAAGTGGAAGACTGTAGAGCTGTTGGGGATTAAAAGCTGAATATATTCACTAGACCTAGTGTGATATCTATTATAGTCGAGGTGAAGAAGTGAGGACAGATAAAGAGATGCCTTGCCTAGAATTGTGTTGTAGACAAAAGGAAGCCAGTGATGGAGTCTCCAGGTGTGAAGGGACGGCCAGTCCACCAGTTTATAGAGATCACAGTGGTGAGTGTGGAAGGGGGCATTAGTGACAAAATGGATGGCTGAGTGATAAAGAATCCCCAGGGTTTTTAGGGCAGCGCATAACGCCATTTTGTAGATGATGTCACCATAGTCCAGAATTGGTAGTGTTGTCATTTTATCAAGGATGTGATTGGCAGCATGTGTGAAGGAGGCTTTGTTATGAAAAAGAAAAGCTAATCTTGCTTTGATTTTTGTTTGCAGATTGTTGATATGAGTGGTGAAGGATAAAGATGAATCCAGTCAGATGCCCAGTTATCTGTAGGTTGTGACATAATCAAGGGCAGAGCCATCAGCACAGCAGATCTTTGGGGATTGGATGTTTGGTTTTACCTATCAAATATTATGCATTAGGTCTTCTTGGGATTAAGAGATGGAGGTTGTGAAAGGACTGTTCAACAGAGGTGAGGCTGAGCTGAAATGTATGCTGCAGAGTTGAGAGAAGGCCCAAGTGAGTACAGAATGGTGTCATCAGCATACTGGTAGATCTGAGAACTACCAGCAGTTTTAGCAGCATCATTAATATAGATAGAAATTAAAGTTGGGCCCAAGAGGGCCCTGAGGTGCAACTCTGGAAATAGTAAGTGGTCCTGACAAGATGTTTTCAGTCCTCAGCTGCTGGACATGATTGGTGAGAAAGCTGGCAAACCAATGACAGCAAGAGGCCAATACTAGAAAGTCTGTGTAACAGGTTACTGTGGTTTACTGAGTCAAGGGCCTTAGCCAGATCAATGAAGGCCACTATGCAGACCTGCTTACTGTCTAATGCTGTGATAATATCATCAAGAACTTTCATGGTGGCTGTCACGCACCTATGTCCAGTCCGGAAAACAGATTGCAAGTCTGAAAGAATGTGGTTGGACAAGGTAGTGGTTCAACTAATTTCTCGAGAACTTTGGCTAAACATGGTAATATGGAGATGGGTCGATAGAAATTAGGGTCAGAGTCAGACCCACCTTTGAAGAGAGGAACGATAATGGCTGATTTGAAATCTGAAGGTAGATTAGAGAACTGTAGAGACAGATTAAATATTCTTGCAATGGGAGCAGCGATAATATGAGCATAGTGTCTATTCCATCAAAGCCAGCAGATTTGTTTGGATCCAGCTTGGTGAGTTCATCCTGAACTTCTGAGACAGAAGCTGTTTTTATAGGACCATAGCGTTTGCAAAACGGGATTTGCCACAGCTTCCTGGGGAGGATTTTGGCATTTATAGTAGCAAAGCTGATGCTAGAATAAAGTGCCATCAGGCACCTCTCAAACCAAGGTTTGAGCCCCGTCAAAGGGAGGTCGCTGGGCGTCCCCCCCACATGTGACGTACAGCCGGAAGACACGTCAGATTGATGAAATTTATTTTTTAGGACCTTTAGCTTTGATGTGACCTGCTTTTTGTCCCGCTTGACACTCCGCTCAGCCAGTGTTTTCACCACTGTTACGATCCAGGCTGTCTAGGGGGCCTGGGATAACAAGTGAGGACGCATGTTCTCGTGTTAAAAGTAACAAAACAACATTTATTTACATAAATATAAACTCAAAACACAGATTAACAAGACACATCAGCAGCAACGCAAAACGAGTAACAACTAAACTCTCATATTAACCAAATTAATACAAAAACCACGAAAGACCATCACATAATTTTCTAATTTCTGAGTGATGTCTTAATTAAAGCAAGCGAAGGGGTTAAGTGTCCTTTACCCCTAAAAAGGCGAACGGTTAAACACAGAGAGTTTTAAGCTCCCACCAAAGTTGTTACATAAAACTTAACTTAACAAAACCAAAAGCTGCTGAGGAGACAACAGACCAGAGAGAACCTCCCTGGCCTACTGAGGGCTGGCTGACTTTTATGTTGCTGGTCATCAGGATCAGCTGGGAGAATCTAACTGGGAGGCAATCCAGTGAGATTGGAGCCAGGTGCTGCATCTCCTCTCTCTCACACACACACACACACACACAGGAAAAACCCAAATGGCTCTGAGCCATAACACCACTCTGTCGAACAGCTGGCTGTCTCTTACTGTCCTCGTAAAAAGGCGACTAATCTGTTCGTCTGCTCGCACGGCCAAAAGCTCCATGGTCTCCGCGTCCATCCAGTTTGCCATGTTGTAGGTGGTTGAAAGATACTAGTGAGAGGCAATGTTTTTCTGTGTTTATATCCCTTCCGGCCGGCACTCGGCGCGCAGTATACTTCACTAACGCGACCACCCTCTTTTGCGGGGGGGTGGGGGGAGGGTTGGGGGGGGGCTTCCACAGTCACTCCAAAGCGATTAGCGGGGCTGACACGCATTTAGCCGTCAGAGGCAAGGAGCTCATGCGGCAATATTACTACGCGGTTAAGCGCATCAGAACCTAGTTTTATCACCTTTCCCCTTTGCCCCTTGCCACATTTACGAGACCCACAAATTTGAATTTATCACTCTGTAATGACGCGATGGTCTGTCTTATAACAGAGGCTAGAGAGAGATTTGAAGGAGAGACCAGCACTGCAGGACGGAGAAGGTTGAATAACAGGTGAGGCTGAAACAGGGTTTCGATTGGTGGGAGCTTTGGTTGAGCTGACAAAGTGTGGTTGAGAAGTGAAGCCATATGAGGTTTATCAGAAATAACATCATTGAGTACCATAGAAAGTGACAGATAGGGAGAATTCAGTTTGTTTTCCATGGATTTAATTGTTTTCCAAAACATTCTTGTATCAGTGCCACAGGTGGAGAGTTTCTCCTTATAGTAGATTTTGGCAATTCTGATTGCCTATGTGGTTTGATTTCTGCATTGTCTGAAGGCAAGGCGATCTGAAGGACACTGAGAAGAACAAGCTTTTTTCCAAAGGATGTTCTTTTGGTGGATAAGTCGCGATAATTAATGAGTGAACCAAAGACTGTAGCAATTCTTGGTCCTAAATTTTTCAGAAGGGCACGTTTATCGAGGATCTGGCAGAAAGATCTGGCAAACCAGATCTGGCAAATTAAAGCTTGTCCCAAAGTCTGTCTCATATAGAAGTCAGATAAAAGATTCAGAATTGTTAAGTTATCCAAAGCCCTTTAAGCCTGGTGCAGGTCTACTATCTTGTTTCTGTTGCCCTTTGACTGCTCTTTGGTGCTGGCCACAGTGGAGTTTGTAGTGTGAGTGAGGTTGTGGACAGGTGCCATTAATACAGGTATCGAGTGGAGGACAGAGGAACCTCTTACAGAAGTTACAGGTCTGCGAGAGTCAGAAATATTGCTCGTTTGTAGGAAACCAAATGTTTATTTTCCACAATAATAACACAACAATAATTTGCAATTAAATTAGACATAATGATTTTCTGGTTTTTTTCTCACTGTGTCTCTCATAGTTGAGGTATACCTATGATGAAAATTACAGGCTCCTCTCATATTTTTCAGTGGGAGAACTTGCACATTTGGTGGCTAACTAAATACTAGGGATGGACAATATATCGGCATCAATATCGGTATCGGCTGATGTTAGTCATTTTTTAACATATCGGTATTGGTCCGATAAATAAAACCGGGCTGATATTAACAACAAATATTTTTTCCATCTTTTCTCTATTTGTGTGCCTGTTTCAGAGGGTGAGGGGGTGATGTGTTATTGTTTAGCAATGTGAACAGTGAATGAAATAATCTCAGAACCATAAATGTGTGTGTTGTGTGTGTGTGTGTACATAATGATGTAAATTCAGCTTTAATAATTTTCATTTTATACAAAATCTGCTGATTTTAGAAGCATTAATGTCAGTATGTCGGTATCTGCAAATATCGATTATTGGCCATAACAGTGACCTTAATATTGGATATCGGTATTGGCCCAAAAATGTCATATATGTGCATCACTACTAAACACATTTTGCCCCACTATGTTCAAATGGAAAAAGACTCGGTGAATTAGCCTGACTGTCTGGAGGCTCTGGGTGTTGTGGGATGTCAGGGTTGCTGCACCCCCTCAGAGTTGGTTGGTGGACGGGGACAACACTGCGTCTATGTTCTTGGTAAAAGTTCATGATTGTTTCCACAGTGAGTTGTCTCCCATCCTGTGTGTGGTGTTCATGGAAAAGGTCTTTATGGGACACTGGAAAGGAGCGAGTCTGGTTTGGGAACCTCTGGATAATATCTCTGCATTTTGTAAATGATGTGGTTCTGTTGGCATCATCAAGCCATGACCTTCAGCGCATGCTGGGGGGTTTACAGCAGAGTATGAAGTAATCAGGATAGGCTTTGCCTCAAGCAGACAAGTTAAGGGCTGGTTTTAATAATGAGCGAAAGATTGATCTGCAGTTATGAGGATGTTGCTCCCGTCTGCGATGATTAACGAGAGGCTGAGCCAAAGCTCTCAATTTACTGACCCATCCATATCCCAACCCTCCATGTTCAGATTTATCATGACTGACAGTTGACAAGCAGCTGATATGGACCCGTTGCGTAGGGCAGCGCTAAGCCTAACAGGTCCTTCATACAGGCTAATGCTGAACGACAGTTGCATGATGCTCCACGGGACGGGGGCAGGCTTAGCAAAAAATAAAATAAAAATACTGACATGTTGTCTATGTTATATCAGAGTACAGGGAACAACTGTCACTTTTATGGATTTCTAAAAAAATAATTAATAATTAATGAAAGGGGGAGAACTCCAGATTGGAGCTTTAAACGAGACTCCAGAGGGAACCCAGAACTTACTGAAGGGATATGAAACCTCCGGGGAACACTCTGGAATTCCATCCAGAGAAATTTGCTCTAATACTCCAAAATACCCAGATCCCAGATCCACTAAGTCAGTATCAGGTCAGATTTCATGTATTAGGAATCCAGTAAAACACAAAGGAAGTACTGTCAGTCAGTATTTTGCAGATGTTCTGCTGATATTTAGTCACGAGCACACGTTTTTTTCAGGGTGGCTTGTAAAACCCACCTTTTCCTTCCCAGGAACAGAAGCAGTGACTGTTTCGGTTACTCAGAGTTATGAGAGTCATTGAGGATCAAACAGGTCTAAACTCCATTAACACCAGTCCCCTGCTCCTTCCCCTTTGTGTGCCCCCCCCCCCCCCCCCCCACAGGAAGAAGCACATCTCCACCCTGCTGAATGTGCGAGGGATGATGCGTCAGGCTGACCGTCAGGAGATCCTTAACATTGTCAAAGACTTTGAAAACAGCAGTGCCTTCATCAGCCGGGATCGTGCCCTCTTTTCTGAAATCCCCATCACCTCAGAGGTGCACTGCATCAGCTTGGGTTTCCTCCGCCTCGCCATGAGCGTCTCCAACTGGTTCTCAGAGCATCGGCTCAGGAGAAAGCGCAAGACAAGATCCAGAAGCACGTCTCAATCTGCTGACAATTTGGAAGACACAAAGAAACTTCACAGAGAGGAGTAGGATACTAATGAGATGTACATGCACCAGAGAAACTTGACCTGAGGTACTGCTTGTCCTGTACATGCTCACTGACCTTACTTCATGGCACACGTTCTGTAAAAACTCAGAAGCAGAACTTGCATTTTATTAACTCACGATGATTTATATGTTTTATGTTAATCTGCTTATACAGACATTTAAAAATGGCAAAACGTATCAATATGTAACCAGTTCAGTCTTTTTAGCATTTTATTCCTCCACAAACACACGACTAGTAGATGCAACCCAGCATGTGTATCAATCTAGGTGCCTTCCTGCCACATACTGTAGTACTTCCTGATCAAAAGTAACAGACGTGCTGAGATCTTCACCAGCCATGGTTTCTGAAGCATGACTGGACTTAAATGGACTTTTTAGTAAGACACTGAGCTGGGGACCTTTCTTCAGAGACATGAGAACCTGCGACGGATGCAGCAGACGGGCTGGCCCCACAGATCCTTGGTCTCAGTAGTCTGATCTCTCAGAGACACGGTGGCGAGCTTGTCCACGTGCTTCGTACAGAAACGTTTGTTTTCAGGAGTACCGGTGTGAGCCGGGCAGCTTTACGGGCCAAGGTTTATGTTTTTGTTTTATTTACTGCACTTTGCTTGGAGTTTTCTAAACATTCACATGAATAAAACTTGCTTTATTCTTGAGGGCACTGTCACTTGCCTAAAATTAGAATTGCACATTGCTGCAAGAGAGGATCTGAAAATGTTTGGAACTCTGACTGTGAATGAAATTGATCGATTGCTGGAAACAATAAAAGCCCATTGACTGGGCAGAATCAAAGGATTCACGTGTTTTTGTGAGCTTGGGTTGAAATTTGTAGTTTTCTAGTTTGAGAGGATTTGTTTGTAAACTATTAATGCACCTACTTTGAAATGACTTTAATGAATATTTATTAGCCGGACGGCCTGACACACAATCTGTGTACCCCCCTTGTCTTTGTTGTTTATCTCTCAGACGTGGCAGCTCTTTTTTAGTAAACAAACCCTAAAATGAGATGCTCCGCCACAACAAAAGGGGTCATAGACCCGGAGGCCAACAACGGAATGGTTTGTGATAAACAAAGATTTCCTGTTGTCCGGTGAGGTGCCAACGGATGCCTTTACTGGAGCCAAGTTTACATTATACACCAAGAGGAAACTTCCTCTCCATGGCGGTTCCACAGCTTTTTCAAGTCTGAGCAAAGTTGGCCTCCCTCAGCAGAGTTCATTCTGTATGCTGACCCCTCTGATTCAGGGATCTGTATTTGAATTAAATGACGAACAGGATTTTATAAATACTCTGTGAAGAAGGAAAGTTGTAGTGAGTTTGTAAGGTATTCTCAGAGAAGTTTTACAGAAATCGTATGGACAGCCCATCATTGCCACAGCAAACTCAGAGGTTCTTCTGAATTGCATGCAAGATTTGTTTTTTAATTTCTGTCACAAATTTCTACTTGGGCGATGGTGGCACAGGAGTTAAGTGCTCAACCCGTAATCGGAAGGTTGCTCAGTCTGTCTCTGTCGTTGTGTCCTTGGGCAAGACACTTAACCCGCCTTGCCTGCTGGTGGTGATCAGAGGGACCGGTGGCGCCAGTGCTCAGCAGCCCCAGCCTCTGTCAGTGCGGCCCAGGGCGGCTGTGGCTACATCGCAGCTCATCTTCACCAGTGTGTGAATGGGTGAAGAATGACCCTTGGGGGGTTCCAGGACTTTAGAAGGCGCTATATTCTGCTTCAGGCTCTTGGAGAGTACAGGCGCTTTTTTCTCCTCTCCCTCCCTGCTCTTCCCAACGCTGTTGCCATGGAAACGCTTTCTCCCTCTCCCAGCCTGGGCGGCACTGTGACCAGTGAAGGCCGTGGAACTGTCTCTAGGAGTCACTGTGCTCTCTAACCCAATTATCTCCCTCCCCTGTCCAAACAGAGGTGGTGAACCCTGCACTTGCAGCTGCACACTCTGAAGTGAGGAGAGTCCCAGAACCTTCCATCCCCACCTAGTGGAGACTTATGTTGTGTATCGTCTGAAGTCTGTGTGCATATCTGTCTGAGGTGTTTTTTTGCATAGCAAAGCTGCCCTCTCTGTCGGGAGTAACTCTGAAGTGCCTTTTTTCCCTCTCCCCAACTCTATCCTCATATAAACCCTCTTGATCTATAACGGTAGCGCGACCCTGGTTGTGAATGACCACAGTCACCAATTCTTGTCATGTGTCTATGTATGTATGTCTGATCTTGGAATTCTCTGTACTGAAACAATTGAATTTCCCTCTGGGATTAATAAAGTATTTTTGAATTTTGAATATAATTTGAATATCAATTACAGGCCATTTAATTCATCATTTACTTCGTTGGCATAAGCTACATTAAATGACACAAGTGAATAATTAAATCGTTTAAAGGTGCATTATGTAGCAAGGAAGTAAAAATTGCATCCTCTGGTAAAATGTGGTTACTGCAACCATTTTAAACAACTCTGGAGCTTTTTGCCTACCGTCGTCAAATTACAAATGTCGGCGCTGCAGCATTAGCTCGCAGGAGACACGGCACCCCCACACTCACCGTTGGTAAATCGTCGTTATGTTCCTCCTTCCTTTGTTTTGAAAGGAGAAAAAAAACGCAGCCAGCTGGATGTGAAATATGATTCAGTATAACCTTCCTTCCTAAATGACTGAAACATTAGACTCTGTTGGGATTTTCTCACTGTAAAATTCTCACTATACTCTTACATACTGCACCTTTATGGTATTGCTTCTGATGCCTTTAAGTACCCTATCGTTTTCCAACACATAAAGTAATGCACGCATTGAATTTGTGAAGAAGCTGTCAGGATCCAAACAAACAAAAACTCTCAAAATGAAAAGTGTCAAGTGACTTTTTGCAAATTCATTCTTTAAGTTGTTTGTAATCATTTCTCGGTGACCCCTGACTGCTCCGTGCACTCCTTATTTTTACATGTTCCAAGAATCTGTGGAACAGAACAGGATGTACATTAAGTAAAGTTGGCATGTGCTGAATGTTAAGTTTGGCAGTACGGCCTGTGGGTCATGAGTATATCTGAAAACATTATCAGACACATTATCAGACATCCTCTCGTACAGAAGGCTGCTGGCGGATGCTGGACGGTAGTTTTCCAAGTGTCCCAAGCGGGGATGTACCTTCCCTGACTGAGAAAGACAGGTTGGCTGAAGTCTTGGAGGTTTCCCTCGAACAAGCTGCTGAAGGTGAAACTGTGCACGGTATCACAATGCAATCCCTGGGAAGCACACCCCTGCTTCCTCTCATTAACGCGGCTCCGCGATGGAAAATCCATCAGGCTGTATTCACTGTTTGTTTTCGGAAGCAAGCCGTGCCCTCCTTTGTTCGCACTGTCATGCACTTTTCATGCGTCCACTCTTTTCTGTTTGTTTTTCATACAGTGTTCTGTATATTATTAAGTAATTAAAAGGTTGTGCCATGGCTGAAAGGGCCACTTGTTTCGGATGGGATAGGAGCATTAGGGCTTGTTTAGTCTACACCAACAACTCCCAACAAGTTGGACTTCCTTGTGAAAAACGAACTTGTTTCTTCACTTTCTATAAAATGTCATTAAGAAGTCTAAACTAATTTAGCATCAGCAAGAGATAAAAAGAAAAGCAGCATAAATAAAACCTGTGATGTCTTAAAGGTATTGGACAGACTCAGCATTAAAATTGTAGAAATATAGTATAACTACACTTTACCATCTATACAAATATGAACTGGGTTCAGTTTTTCATTTTGTTAAGGAATTCATAAATCATTACAGAAAATCAAAATTCTCTCCTCCAGGCAGTGAAGAACTGTGTTTTGCATACGTCACTCACACACGTCATACCAGGTAGCTGCTGTTGCTAGCATGGTAAATCACTGTATTTTGTTTATGTTTATGTTTATGTTTATTCATTTAGCGGACGCTTTTATCCAAATCGACTTACAATTTATAACCTATAGGGCATGTTGTGATCTGTGGGGGAAACCGGAGTACCCGGAGGAAACCCACGCATACATGGGGAGAACAGGCAACTCCACGCAGAAAGGCCACAGCCGAGATTTGAACCTGCAACCTTCGTGCTGCGAGGCAACAGTGCTAACAACTGCGCCACCATGCAGCCGATGTTTACAATCGTGTTTCGAATTAAAACAGATCATTGCGTTTACCGCTGCAGCTAAAGGTCTGAACCATATGTCCGTGTCCTACACGTATTTTTAACTAACATAGGTTTGATCGAAAATAATAACCTACATCTATAAATCCACCTAGAACCGCACCGGTACTTCTGGACTCCAGCAGGCAAGTCCCGTTAGCATGACTGCAGCAACACTGCTAACCGTGTTAGCTCCAGTAAAGAACAAGTAATGTGTGAAAGCTACCACACACACACACACACACACACACACACACACACACACACACACACACACACACACACACACACACACACACACACACACGCACACACACACACACACACACACACACACACACACACACACACATACACACACACACACACACAATCTGAAAGATGATTCCCATTTTTCAACAATAGATCCTCCTATAGGACCGGTAGAACCTCCGTGTCATCCTGGATTAGAAAACAACGATCTGAGCTAGCAAGGTGGCATCAGGAAGATTTATTCTGGTAAGCAATCGGTTAAATATTTTCTGATGTTATATCAATAAATACACCCAGCGGTAAAGCTGGCAACACGTTATTTTACTCATCTGTAGATTACTGAATTATATTGGGACAATATGATGGAGCTAACCAGCTGAGAACTTAACTGAAAGCTACCGGTGGAGCACAGACATGAAATATTTAACAAACTTTAACAAACTGTACCGATTTTGGTTATGAAGACGATCAGAATCCTCCCCGGTGTCCCAATCGGGCCGCGGGTTTTCTGAGTAAAATGGTCCAAAGCATGTCTGCACCTCCGGTTCTGATATCCAGCTAGCGAGGCACGGAGTTGGGTTGAACGTCTCCGGTAATCCAATATCCATTCTTGTCGCCGTATCCCAGAAAAAAAAACAATTCTGACCAACTAGCAGAGGCTTCACAAGCTACATCTGACTGATGACACACTGTTCTCTGCTATGATGCTAACGCAGAAACACCGGAGCCAGGCGTTGTTTACTATCGCTGTTTCAGCTGAGCGCCTTGTGAAACGTCACCAGCTGCCCAGCGCTTAGACCGAAGGTTAGTTTCTATTTTTCCCGCGCCAGTCACAAACATCAGATTTTCTTAAAATTCCAGCCACGAAAACCCAAAAACCTTTTTCATCTGAGGTTATAACTTTACACATGCCGTTCAAAGGCATTTAGCCTCTGGCCAATATCTAATAACAGGTTTTCATCAAAGATGCCTTACCTAATAAATAATTAACATCCTTTAACCCTCCCACTGTCCTAATGGGTGACCCTGCGAGGAAAGTTGACAATTGAGCAGGGCTGATCCCTTGGGTCCATGTGGCAGGGGTGAGGAGTGAGCCCCACCTCACCCCTGCCACGTGGACCTCAAGGGATAAACCATCAATCGTGGAGCACTGTGGCGCTCTAGTTTGCCATCTCAGCTGATTTTGTTCAAAAAGCAAACCTTATTGCCTGTATTTACTTTCATTTTCAATACATTTGCCAGCCGGAGCTCAGCAATAACTCCCCACGTCATCATGACATCTGCCTCAGTTGCACCAGGGCGCATACGACAGACCATTACCGCAATATTACTACCAAGCGAGGCGGAACGAATGCCGCAATAATCGCGCAACACCATGCTGGCATGGCGCGTTTATAGA